GAAACTATTTGCAGTATAATTTGTTTTTCCTCTTCATTTCGCGATAGTACATTATTAAACTCTAGCATAAGTTTCACTCCTCGTTCGGCCGAATCGTTAGCAACTCTTAAATTATTAACTATATTTAATCCAATATTATAATTTGTATCATTTTCCCATTCTGAAGGATCCTTATTAATAAAATCTGTGGGTATCTCAAATCTTTTAAAAAACTGTAACGTTTTTTGGGAAACAAACCCTTCAATACCAGTGTTGATGTACTGAGGTACATTATTCGAACTAATTATTAATTTTTTGACGTCAGTATCATTCAGAGTATCTAAAGCTACTACCATCCGTTTTTTAGCGTCATACGTAATGTTGGAGTCAAAAAAGGCCAGCGCTGCCGCTTCTGGTGTTAAGTGCCATAAATGATTACAAAATTTATGCAATGCTCCGCGACTTACATTTTTATTAATTGCACTATATGCATATAAGTTTTTTAAAAACTCGAAATCTTGTCTAGGAGCTTTTGCAGCAACTGGAGCTTTAATCCATGCTTTCAAATACGGTTTAATCAGAAAAATACAAATGTCGCGGATTCCATTTTCTTCATCTTTTGTTAAAACAAATTCGTTCCGAAATAAAAATAGTTTTAAAGAATATATAGCCTTGGCCATCCATCGAGCATGGTGAAATGCTCCTGGTATACGGAAGGAAAACTTTGGAACTGTTCCATTAAGAAAAATTATTGATAATTCTAGAAATTCGCGATAGTCTTCTCGTGGTTGCTTAAATTCCAAACTATATGAGGCAAAGTTTATTATTTCTGCTACATTGTCAACGGACTCTTGAACTATCTGATCGTCAACTCCCGATTTAAAATTTAATTTATTGATTTGAGACCAGGATCCTTGAAAACGATAAACGATCCGAGTTCTATACCTGGGCACCTGTGACTGGATTTTCAAGACTAAGGGTCTTTCAACGTCTATTCAGTGTCCAACGTTGTATGTCATATTTCGGTGCTGCTACGGGTCAGTTAGGCTTAGTGTAAAATAGTCTTATATTGTACAAATGGAACTTGGGTTTTAATGCACGTACGAACAGAACAATACTAAATAAGTAAAGAATTATGTTATAGTCCTCAAAATATGAAATATTTCATTGAAATTTTCAGAAACACGCCACTCCTTACGCTCAGCGCGCGGTTACTTCTATTTCAAAACTTCGCATGCGATGTGCCACGTCTTCCCGACCTTCAATCGATCTCAAATTTTGCACAGATTATTTTTTCATGAAATGGAACAAATTTAGGGGGCGGCGTGCAAAAAATTTTATGGTCGAAAAATAAGGACCACCCTATTGGGCATACTACAATCTGTATTATGTTTCTCCTGAATTGGAGAGTGGACAGAAAATGTTTATCTGCGAAAGACATTTGCAAAGTAAAATATGAAAGCCATATGTGCATTATGCAAATTATTTAAAATATAAAATACATTACTCAACCTGTTCAATGCTGAAACAAATATTCATTCTGAGTCTCACTTCTCTAAATTTGCTTTCTACACGAATATGCACTTTCATGAATAACCGTGGGCTACTTGTTCTATATCGATTAGTGGAATTTAACAGAAATCAATGAAAATAAACTTGTATATAGAGTGGTCGTGAACGATGGGATGAACAGAAGGAAGTCATGTTCTTTTCTCGAGATTGACCCACTTTGAAACAAGCCGAAATCTTTCCGTTGTCAGTCGATATCAGAGACCACGAAAAGGGATTTGTTTGCCGGCTGGCAACTTTTATGGACCCAGGGAACCCAATTTCTATCACGACTAACTTTTCAATCGATGTTTACCTTGATAGGTGGCCTATATCCCATTTTTGCTGAACAGACTTACTGCATCAGATAGCTTCCAAAAATCACGGATGCGAAAATTTTTTTCAATTTTACAGCTGGCGAGAATCAATCAAGGAATAATGTCCAAACAACATAGATAAGAAAAATTACAATTACATATATATATATTCGTAAATACACAAACTGAAACAGCTGTCTCAGTAATCGAACGTGCCCCAGTGACCGGACCCTTGGCAATATTTTTCTTCGATATCAAGAAAACAGAATGCATGTTACAATATTTTATGTATCATAAGATATTATTATAGATTAAATTGCTTATTAGATCAGTCATTACAATCTGAAATATATAACTTAAGTTCTGTTTTCTGTTTAATCAAATATCTATTCTTTATTTTTATGTGTATCTGTAATAATCAAAATTAATAATTGTATTATTGATAAACGTCAATAAATATAATTACATTGCAGGCAAACCATTCATATTTGTATCGCTAATGTTATTTTTAATCATGAATAATACGATGTAGCGTGTCAATATGGATATAAATCATCAGAATAATTCGCTTACGCCTGCTTTTCCAAGTAAAAGTGTAAACCAATATATAACATTGCAAATAGATACATTTTATTTTAATTATGATAATATCGGGAAAAATTTATTTTTTAGAAATTTATGTTACACAATACAAGGCCGAAGTAATAAATAATTTATATGGAAAAACCTTGTCCTACAGTATTTTTACACATTTTGGTTATTTCCAAAGATAACCATATAAGGACGTTCTTGATTACTTTCAACAATATTATTTAAATTGTGAAGCATACAAAAAAATAAAAATTAATATTTCGTTATTCCATTTAGAAATAAGTGAGCATAAGTAACGATGCATTTTTATGCAATATAGATTTATATTGGTATAGTATTGTTCTTATTTATTAAAATACTAACAATTCCATTTCAAAATCATAAATACCTTGCTTTTTATTCAAAACACACTTACTTTAAATGCTATTTCCAGTATAGAATTTTATTCTTACCATGAGAGCAAACTCTTTCATGATCACCAGACGTTCTAGTAACATATAATTGGCACTATGTATCAGACAGGCCAGATTCTTTGTGTACGTGCGTTAAAAACAATGTCGGAAATACATATCATCGGTTACCGATAATGCCTTGAAAATTAGCCGGGATTTTCCCTTAGAAATTGGCAGGTTGCTGACACTACTTTCAAAAACTAGCACGCATTCATACACTCTTCGATCGAGTTCTACATGGACCACTTAAAATGTAACCGTCAGCTCTCGTACCTGCTGCCAAAATCAAAAATTTACTTTTAAATTTTTTTCTTTTAAAAATTTTATAAAGTTTTCAGAGTTTCAGGGCTTCCAAGGGGTTTCAGGGCTTCCAAGGGGTTTCCGGACTTCCAAGGCATTTCAGGACTTACATGTAGTTTCAGGGATTCCAAGGGGTTTCGGGACTTCCCAGGAGTTTCAGGGCATCCAAGTAGTTTCAGGACATCCAAAGAGTTCCAGGACTTCCAAGGAGTTTCAGGGCTACCAAAAATTTTCAGGATTTCTTAGAAATGTCGTCATTTTCAGGAATTCGCCGGCGGCGGCAAAAATTTTACAGCCTTCCGAAGGAGTTGTAGCGGCTAACTCGCACAACAAAAGAAACATTTGGCGTGCTAGCATGGTTTACGATAAGCAAAATCGAAAAGGCCACTTTTGAGAAAGCCGTTTCTTACGAGTTTTATTAGCCGGCATGTTTTTCGTCGAAGGTTTCGAACGGCCTCAGTGGCATATTGCACATGTCATAAACCATGCATTTCCGAAGGGCTGCAACGCCAGGTCAAGCGACCCTCGGCGGGTGACATCACCAGGCCTAGACTTGGAGGAAATTCCGCTGCATTGCCAAACTTCCGCCGACAAAGCTACCCCCACCGGGTCACATCGCCTTTCCCAAAAAGCGCGTCAAGGGCGCAAGGAGTAGGCGGTGACTTCGGAATTGCAAGATGCTTAATTGGTTAACTTCGACGCATCAGTTGAACCAATTAGGCGACTGCAAAGAGTTCAAGGAAAAAGTTATTTTGTACAGAAGTCAGTCTTCGCCACGACACCCAGTGAACAACACCTTCAGAATAAAGAGTACAAGGCGAACTTTGCGATTGCATTTAAGACCCATTCTTATCCTCTCACGCAACCACTTCAGAGTCTTATAACTAAGGAAATGATTTGGAGAGGAAAAGAAAGGTAAAAAATTATGAGAACACAGAATTCTTTGAAATTGTATCATATATTGCCGTTGGTTAATATTACACAAACATTAATACATATGTATCATGTCAGAAGTTGCCAGCAACGGTCAGCAGTGATCAGCAGTGGTCAGCAGAGGACAGCAGAAGCCAGCAGAGGCTGGGAGAGGCTGGCAGTAGCCAGTCGTAATCGTTATACGTTGTGAGAATTATCAGGAGTGGTCAGCAGTGGTCAGCAGTGGTCAGCAGAGGCCAGCGGCGGCTGGCAGAAGTCAGTAGTAATAGTTGTACGTTGTCAGAAATATAAGCGGTGGTCAGCAGAGGCTGGGAGAGGCTGGCAGTAGCCAGTCGTAATCGTTATACGTTGTCAGAAGTATCAGCAGCGGTCAGCAGAGGCCAGCGGAGGTCTATAGGAAAATTCAAAAGTACATGTAGTCGTATCTTGTACCTCGTACTTTTTACCTTATACTTCAAGTAAAAAGGGGTAAAACAATTGTATGACATTACCTACTAACTCAAGTTAGCCAGCAGTGGTCAGCAGAGGCCAGCAGAGTCTGACAGAAATCAGAAGTAATTGTTACACGTTGCCAGATATATCAGAAGTGATATCAGAAATAGTATACATACTTATGTACGCTCATACATAGAAATAATAAAAAAAAATTTCTTTTTTTTCAATAATTAAAATTTGATCAGGGGTTCTTAAAACGTGTATTTCCGTAAAAAATATTTTACAACGTTTTTTTTCATTGTGGTACTTTGCTAATGCGAGCCTACATTGGTATACTATTCATACATACGTTACTGCTTTCGGTCGCGCATGCGAAAGAAGGCAGTCCACCTGACATATAGGTTGGGTCAAAGAAACACGCGGGTTAATATATGTAAACAAATTTATTGTTTACTACAAATCTAAAAGACGCATTATTATCTTTATTTCATCTGATACACTATAACATGTGAAACTTGTACAGTTAATTTTATTTAACATAGTTCTAGTGAAGTTTAAATTAAAAGTGTTAAGTATAACCATGGCCGAAACATCAATGCTAAAACGACATTCTGTAGGATCTGTTATACATTTCAACCCTTCATGGGAAAAAGCATATTTTTTTACGGAGCATGACCATAACGTTAGATGCTTAGTGTGTTTGAAAAGCCTAAATCACGTGAAGAAATATAATCTTCAACGACATTACAATACGTTCCATGCCAAGCAGTATTCTCGGTTCACGGGTGATGAGCGACTCGCGGAAATTGTACGATTAAAGTCCAAATTAATGGACGCAAAAGAAGACGTACTTAGTGCAGTAAGTTATTTTAATGTTTGGAGGAATATTACCTTGAAGATCAAAAATAAGGCTGTCTTATTTCACCAGTGTATTGAAACTATAAGTTTTGGAGAATGTTAGTAACAATTTTTATAATAAAATTTCAATAAATATAGAAAATATGAGCCTTATATTTGACACTGCTCCTTTTGTATTGTCATACAATACACGACTTTTCTCTAGTATAAACTGTTTGAAATAAAAGAGGTTAGAATTCTTGGAAACTACACATTTGTGAATTTTATTGAAAACTGATCAGTTTTCAAAGTATTTCTCTAAAGTGGTAGAGAAACCAAATTTCCAATCGATTGGATATATTATAAGTATTGATCATTTTATGACTTATCGTAACTCATGTCTTCCAGAATGATAAATAACATTCCTACAGCAAATATAACTTCTTCGGTAGCAGTTTTTACTTATTTGTGTAACAATTTTATCATGTATGTTGATTCTTGCGCATAGAGGTTGACTACAGCAATACATTGGAAAAGTTCTGTCTCATAGTATTCTATTAACTATTGGTCCAATTTATATATTCAGTGGTAACACAATAAATAATAAAGATTTTGCTTCATCACTAAATATTCAAATATCAAAATGAACTAAGATTTCTATAATGAGAACTTGGTATTGATTTTGTAATTTCCAAATGAAAACATTTAAACTTTTGTTATTTTGCATGAAACCACTAAACCAACGTTCCATAAAATCTTTTTTGCTCAAATCTTCATAGATCAATGTTAATACATTCATCAGCTGAGAAACCATGATCAGCTTATGATTATATTTGTTAAGTTCTTTTTAAACACTCGCTCTTCGTTAAATACACTATTATTGAAGTTTTTACCTCTATCTCACCAATTCTTTTACTATTTGTTTTACTTGTTTTTGAAATCATTAAGTGGTGTTTCTCTTTAATTATAGAAACATTTTAATGTCACAAATTCGTTTAAAACATCTAGGGGCATAATGCATCTTGCTTCTAGGTGGATAATAACCCGACTGACGAAGCCGCACTTCGGGCAAGTTATCGTATCGCATTAGAAATTGCAAAATCCTCGTGCTGTTTCCTGAACGATGATTTCGTGAAACATTGTTTGCTCTCAGTGGTAGAGGAAATGTGTCCGGAACTAGTGTACAAATTTGAGTGCATCGGTATGTCGGACGACACGATCACACGTCGCATCTATGAAATGGCCAACAACGTTACCGAACAACTAAGCAACATTATTCAAACATTTATTGCATATTCGATAGCTGTGGATGAAAGTACCGATGTGTCCGATGGACCATTACTTGCAATCTTTATTCGCGGTGTAGATAAAAATCTGACGGTCACCGAAGAATTATTAGATATTTTCTCTGTAAAGAAAAACACGTCAGGGGAAGATGTATTTTTATGTGTAGAAGAGGTAATGGAACAGAATAATTTACAATGGGATAAACTAGTTTCTGTAGCAACTGGCGGAGCTCCTGCAATGGCGAGGAGACACAACGGATTTGTAGCCCGTCTTCGAATAAAATTGCAAAATTTAGCAATTCCTCACGAAGTGATTGCAATACGTCACAGTGTCGATCCGCAAAATTTATGCTCGAAACGCGTTCATTTGGATGATGTAATGTTGCTCATTGTTCGGACAATGAATTATATACGCTATCACGGTGCAACGCACAGGGACCTTATAATGTTTCTGGAAGAGCTTGATGCCGAATACGGCGAACTGCCATACCATACAGAAGTGCATTGGATTAGTCGTGGAAGAATCCTAAACAGATTTTTTGAACTCCGCGAGGAGATTCGAGTATTTATGGATATGATAGAGCAACCAGTTCTGGAACTTCACGACGAATCGTGGGTGATAGATTTGGCATTTCTGTCCGACGTGGTTGATCATCTGAACATTCTGAATGCATCCTGGCAAGAAAAAGGGAACTCAATTATGAAATATGCTCACGATGTATCGATGTTTCGAATACAGCTAGACTTTTGGATAGAGCTTCTGTATTTTGGACGTGTTCCAGACTTTACCAAGTTAAATACAATAACATCCTTAAATCTTGAACGGCACAAAACTATTTTACAGAATCTTCTGAGAGATTTCGAAACTAAATGTGAAGATACAGTTAAATTGATGGATGAGTTGAATATAATAGAGTCGCCATTTAACATTCGTGTGGTCATATCTGATCCTCAACTACAATTGGAATTATTAGACTTGAAATGTGACAGGGCATTAAAAGACAAATTTCAACAGAAGCACAATTTATTGGACTTTTACAACAACCTTAATCAATGTAGATTTCCCCAGCTACACAAGTGTGCTGCAAGGATCATAACGATGTTTAGCTCCACGTACATTTGCAAGCAATTGAGTTCTGTTTTAACTCAGACAAAATCTATAAACAAAGCTGGAATCTCGAATCATAAATTCTTTAAATCAAGACTAATATTAAATATGGCCCAATCAATTGTTCCTAATATTACAGAGCTAGTAGATCGCGAAAAAGAATCCAGAATGCCGAATTAATCTTGCGTGAAGTATTCAGGTATGTAAAATATGAAATAGCGGACTATAGGGTGTTCGGCCACTCCTGGGACAAATTGTAATAGGAGATTTTAGAGGCCAAAAGAGGACGAAAATCAAGAATATCAATTTGTTGATGAAGGCTTCGTTAAAAAGTTATTAACGTTTAAAGTTCCGCCCGTGCTGATTTTTTGTCTCGAAAATGCGCAGGATTTCGCGGGTATGTCTATTCACTAAAAATTATTATAATTGACCCCTGCAACCAAAAATAATTTTTTTAAAACAATTTGAAATTTTTAAATTTTAATATTTAAATTTTTTAATAACGAAGTCTCAGTCAAGAAATTGATATTCGTCTTATTTTGGCCTCTAGAAACTCCCATTAGAATTTTTCCCAGGAGTGGCCGAACACCCTGTATATGTATAGTGATACCTTAAAAATTGGCTGGTTGCTATCCCCACCAGTTCTTGGAACTGGTTTCCTGCTTGTCCTGCCAACCAAGTACTATGCGTTACTGAGAACATGTCAGTTTGAAGGAATGCGGGTCTGATTGGCTATGTTTCACGATGTCTTGAAACGACGATCCACGTATAGGTACCTCTTGATCCCAGGGCCGTCTCAACTGACATCTTCTTATCTATCATATTTTATACTGTGTTTAATATTAATATTTTTTATGTGTTTTTTATATATAATTTTAAATAAACTGCGAGAGAGAGAAAGAGAGAGAGGGGGAGGATTACCAGAAGTATGTTCACAGTTGTTAAATTATTTGTATTGTTAAATTATACGTCTATTATAGTATAAAAGTATATATAGTATACATTTTATATACAGTAACTTTTATTAATATTCAGATACCATGCTATATCAGAAATTATTGCTACAACAGTGTTATTGAATTTATTGCCTTGCAATATAATGAAATATACATTATAGTTAGTAAAAATATAAATTTGATTTATTTACAGCATATAGATTATTACATAATAAACGAAAACCCAAATAATGACAAAATTTAATTTTATAAAAATATCCGAATATTAATAAAAGACACTGTCTTTTGCCAGATGCTGTACCTCATCAAATAGTAAAGTTTATTTTGTTAAAAATACATTTTTTGCTTTCACTAACTCGACGAATATTTTATTTTGAAATCCTAAGTTCGCGTTGCGTACAAAACGGCCGTGTGTCGTCGCAGCTAACTAAAACTTTATCTAAAGTTTCTCAAGGAAATTTATAAAATTTTCCAAACAACTCTCAATCGGTTATCTACTTTATATTTATATTCTTTATCCAGTGTTCAATTGTCGAAAAAGTGTAAAAAAAATGTACGTAAGTGTACAAATTAGACGCGTACGTTACTGAACGAGTTCTCCAGCTCAAACATCCTCTATTGAATAGAAGGACGTGTAAGATATTCAGACGGTTGTCTTACTCTTTCCACTCTTTCTCTTTCTCTCTCTCTTTCAGGTGAAGCTGACTGTACCTGAAAGTCTAATGAATAATAAGGGAGCTAGCTACAAGCTGTCGAGAGATTTTATCGAGCCCACTGTCAACATCCAACTAATATCGCGTACAACGTGGCGGATTAATTGGAACTGCCCCGAGCTCTAAGCAGCATTTTCATGGGTTTAAATCGCGTTCGCACGACACCGGTGTATCCAAACACTATGAACCTTAGGCAACGAATAGCCTTTGAGAAGGAGTCGTGATAACCAACGACCCAGAAGCTGTGCACAGCGTAGCTTCAGGGAATAGGACGGCGTCACACTGTAATTTCTCGTTTCTTACCTATGTTTCCCAAACGGACTTACTTATGTCATTCGCGTGTTGCCTTTTGTCTACGAAATAAGAAGATCGTTTGACGGCTATTGCACTTGAGTAACGACGCGACACGACTTAGCATGTTAACCCTTTACGGACGGAAAGGGTACAAAAAATTCATTATATTTTACAAAGAAAATTCTATTTTATAACTATATTGCCATTAAATACAATAACATCAAACTTTTATTTACCATCTGAAATTGTTCGTATTATCGTGTACGTATTTGTTTCAAAGTACACGAAGATGCCTGTAACATACGTGTATGAATAATGCATACTTATTTACTTTTAAAGTACATCATATCATTGTTGAACTCAATCAAACAAAAACCAAAGTACTCATTGAACAATTTAAAAACAAAGGACAATATTAATCCTAAAAATTGAATTGCTTGGAGAATAATAATTGTACGTAAAATCAGAATAAGAATTCCTATTCTGTACATATGTCGCCATCTGTCCATTAATGCGAAGTAAATACGTCGAGAAACACGAGAGCTAAATTCACTCAGTTTTTCCACAGTATGATGAAGTTTGACATGTTCACAGCATAGTTTTTCTGTATAAATAAAGAGAATATGTTTTAGTTACAAAATGATTTTTTTATAATTTATCTTGTTCAATGTACCAAAAATACCATCTTACCTGTTTCATTTGTATAGAATTCTTCATATGTTGCAGGTAAATATTTATCCAACATTAATTCAGCAAGATCGGTACTACTATCCACAGTCTTTAAAATACTAATTCCTGTTTCAGTCGACATGACTTTATCTGCCTGTTGCCAACTATACACCCTAAAGTAATGAACCTTGTAATAAGTAAGTAATGTCATAGCTCTAACTTTATGTTTAGTTTCTTGCTTTAAATCAGTGAATGTTTTAACAGCAGGTCGAAGATGTTTAAAAACAATTGACTTGGTACGGTTTAAAATCTGAAACAATGAATATAAATAATTTTCTTTTAATGAAGAAATGTTTGAGCTATACAAATAACCACAGTATTAAATATAAGTGTTAGAATTTATATACCTGATTTGGTTCCTCCTTGATTATTGGTAGGTTTACTTCTACATAATCAAGCCCTTGACAAAGTGTTTTGTCAAGAGTATAAATTGGCTTCTCCATTAATTTAGCTAGTAATAATGATTTTTCAAGTACATTATTTACAACATTTTCCACTACATCAAATGCCCAATGAGTAAACATATTTGTTCCTTTCATGCGATCATATACTTTTGTAGATTTGTCCCATAAATAGTTCACACTTGGTATTTTACGAGCTCGCTGAATAGCTTGCATTTTATAATCATAATCCATTAATTCTACTTCCATATTGATAGTTAACAGTAAGATCCTCTATTTTAGATAAAACAAAAATTCTGACTATAAACAGAAAACCTACAATACATATTAGAATACTACACTTTCGAAAATGAATTGAAATTGTGATTTAAATAGTATTTCAAATTATAAAATTGAACTAGAAGTTTCTGAAAAATAATGGAAAAGTGTAAAAACATAGCAACACTTGTCAAACGTTCTTACTAAACATATGGACAAAAATATGAAGTATTTACAATATCAAAACAACCACTACACAACAAAGAAAAGCAATTATTTGTTATATGATACAATTATTACTATTTGAAGAAAGGTACTTACTTGTTCTATGTTGCTTCACTCAGTAACAAACTGTGCACCTTGATCTCTGAGTCATTTCACTCTGGAATTTATTTACTCGACAGTCAACAATCGCGATTTAAATTATTTATTCTTCTTCTATGAAGTATCATTAGCCTTTCACATTTTTTATAACGCGATATCGTTATTCCTTAAAAAAATAGCTTTAGTACGCTAGTACTGCATCTTTTTAAACTGAATTACTTTAAACTTTAAATCAGTTGTGTGCTCACAAGATTTGAAATCATAATCATCGATTTTGTTGGTGAGGTCAGAGTTTCGTAATCGTGCATCCAGGGATCAAGTTTCGTCGTTTCTCTTGAATTTATGCACTAAATATTTAGCAGTTGTTCCTTTCGTATTAAAATTGATTGAGAAACAATAATGTATAAATTATATTGAAATTAAAATGTCGAGAATCGAGAAACACTTTACCGATAATGTTTCCATTAACAATATTTACTGACATTTACTTTGAACGATCTTGTATATTTGTTAATACACACATTCACTGATTTGTATATGTCGTTGATAATGTATCTGGTTTGCGAAAGAAAGGTGAAAAGGGCAATGTATGCAAATGTGTTGGTACAATACTATACGTATAAGTAGATAATAATTTGCAGAATAAGTATGCACTTGAAATATTGCGATTGAAATTTGCAACAACATTAAAAAAAATATTAGAAACGCAACTGATCCGTTTAATTGATGCTACAAGTTAGGTTTTGCTTTTGAACGAATTTGCGAAGAAATGAATATTTCATTGAAGGTATATTATTCGTGATAGATATGTTCTATTCAGTTTTGCATTTCCCAAATTGTACTTTACGAAGTTCTGGGGTTATACGAGGTCAAACCTATTTTCATAATACATTAATCCTTCGTTTGAAAGCAAAATATCTTGCATGGAGGAATTTTTGGATTAAATTCTTGGCAAAGCCCAAAGGCGAATTTAGAAGTTTTGCTTAGAGGGAGACGAAATATATAAAAGAAATATTTTTGAACCTTTTACATGACTATAAATTTGTTTAGAATTAATTTATTAATATTTTTATCCGATAGTAGTCTCAATAATCATGTTCACATTAATTATTCATTTATACACATAGTCTTCCAATAAGGTGTGATTTCAAATATGACACACTTTCATAATTATTCTTTTAAAAATTGAATAAGAAATATTTTTGAAACTTTATCGATTTGTAAATCGCTATAGTTTTATTAAAAATGTATTTTTTCAATGTTTACACAATGTCTATCATATAAAAATACACATTGATACATTCAATAACAGGATGCCCGAGTTGTATGAAATACGTACAAAAATATTAATGCTTTATAGTTATGCAACTACCAATAATAGATTTTATCGTTCTAATTCTACCCTTTCTTCTCACCAGCTGCACTTTGTGCTTCTTTATTATCGACCTGTTTCTCGTTTAAACTCAAGTAATGTGTTAAGTGGAGAATTGATATAACATTTGTTATGTATGCCGACAGATCCTCTTTCTTTATAGTCCTTAATTGTGCTGCCACTGAATGGAAAACACGATTTGCAGTTTTCGTCGATAATTGGCCGATTGTTTGTACAGCATGGAGAACTTTGTTCTCTTCGGCCGATACGGGAGCTGCAACACGTATTTTACATATATACATTTCTTTATAAATATTTGATGTATATTTGTAGAATTTAATGATAGATCTCTTGTTAGTTATTTAGGAAATATACCTGGCGTGTCTGCTTCTCCCGCGACTGGAGGGAAGTAACGATCCAATAGACCATTAATGAGGACGCTTGTATTGTCCACGCCTTGTACAGCCATACTACCATATTGTGTATTTAATAACTCGTTAGCCTTTACCATACTGATATCTTTGAGTGTGGACGCTTGTTGAGTCGCTGATTCTTTTGCAGCGTGAAGTTTTTCCATAGTTGGTTGCAAAGAACTGCTCATTACTGCCTTAGCTGCTTCGTATATCTGTAATGGGCAAAAAATATTTCTCAATAATATTCCCTCCTTTCCTTTAATATCCTGTGTTTAAGAGGTATGGTTGTAAAATAATTTTGCATATCAATTAAAATGTACACTTCGACGTTGACTCGAGTTACGTAAATTTCGGATTTGCGTACATGTTTCTGGTACAAGATATTTTCTATATCATTATTAAGAATTAAACAAAATATGGAGTCAATAAGGATAACTTTTACATTTTAATTATACATCATTTGGGTTACTTTATCATTGTTTTCAAATAAAATTTGTAGTTAGTACAGTATATTAATACAATCATTTTTAAATTATATCTGATATTGAATGATAAGAAATCGATAATATATTATAAAGTAAAATTAACTGAATATACTAGGGTACATTGAGAGAGAAATACAACATTATGATTGATTTAATATTGTCAGAAAAAATATTAAAAAATCTTGATTAAATATGTATATTTACTTGTTCTGGAGGCTGCTTCATCATTGGTACTTTTTGTTCCACAATGTTCAAACCCTCGCACAATTTTTGGTCCACAGCTGAGATTTGGTCTTCAAATTTTTTAGCCAAAGGTGCTGTATAAGGTGCAGCTGTAGCAGTTGCATAATTAAGTCCAGTTTCTGCACTAGTGAATACCCAATTGATTAAATCGTTTGAACCTTTCAAATAAGAATATGTGGATTCTGTTTTTTCAATTGCCGAGTGTACAACAGGAATGTTTTTCACGCGATCAATTACTTCGAGATGAGGCGTGCTTTCTGACGCGACACTGCCTTTAACATCTTTATCTTTGGCTTCTGCCATTTTTTCTGAAAAGTATAACAGACCATTAATAATTGTATAGTAAGTTATATTAATAGTGCTCAATATTAATGCATTTTGTGACAATTATAAATACATATGTAACAAAAAATCAAAAACATGCAAAATTAAATCAACATTTGAATGTACTATTTTGCAATAAAATTTAATTGCATATTACTTTGTTTACACATAGATTTACATAATTGCAATATGTGCAACACATAAAAGTATTAATTGTAAACAACTGGTGTGTCAATAACAAAAAAATAAAAATGAGTCATATAATGTTAAACCACAGTATAGTACTCAACTTGTCAGAAGATTATGAGCATAATTCATGATTCATCTACTATAAAGAAGAATCTATTAAAATTAACTATATAGCTAGAGGCTGTTTAAGTAATGAACAAGTAATTATGTTTATATATTATATAATAATAATTTAATAATTCGGATTTTAGAAAGTTTAACAATTTCTCGTGAACAAAAAGAAAACTACTGATAAATTTTATGTATGTAATTTTGAAATTTCCACAAAGTTTTTCATTATGTAAAATATAATATTTTCGGATATTCCTCCGAATGGCAATACAAATATAGAATTAAAATGGTAGCCTTCTTGTACTGGAAAGATATTGATCTTTATCATAAAACATTCAAGCTTCTTTTCAAATATATCGTATGCAATCAATAACAATCGTATTACGTAAGAAATATTGCTTATAATAAGAATTAATATTTTATTGTACAAGTAATTTAACAATTAATTATCTGCCTTAAAGCCATAGATTTATTATCGATTAGCGTTAGATGGATAAAAGAATAAAGATTATTATAATTGGTAAAATAATAATGACTCTGTTTAAAAAGCTCTCATCTGCTAAATACTACATCTAAATTATTAAATATATAAATATACATAGAAATCCTACGAGCACTGACATAATTTATTATGAACTGTAGTAATTACACAAATATATTCATGTGAAAGGATACAAAAGTTATTGATATTACATTCAAATATGTTAAAGAGATACTTGTTCAATTACTAGACATATTTGTTAACTAATTGTATTATTATTTATATACTCACAGTATTTGATGCAACAGTTTGTAAAATATAGAAACGGGAACACAGTAACTCATTCACCGGTATGCGCAATAGATCTACTGGCACTGATGTATGTATGCTTCTGAATCACTATGCTTTAAGTAGGGGGAAACGTTCAAAGGAGGGAGTAAATACTTCTCAGGGCCGTAAAAATGGTGTAGTTTTATCGATTTAAGATTTACAAATGTTAGTGAGGTCAAAATATTTAAACTACATGAGTTTATAATAATTGCAATATCAGATTTGAAATGGCGAATCATTAAGAAGCTTTATATCATAATAATTATTGCAATTATACATATTTGCCTGAATGTAAGTAGTTTACCAATTGTATGCTTCATTTATTTTCTTAATAGGTTAAAAATCCAAATTAAATAAATTATGACTAAAATTATAAAAATGGAGTAAGTACTATACTCCTGAAGTATGTATCTAAGAAAAGATTATGAATATAACGGTGGATTTACTTGTAAAAAATATTAAATTGATTTAAGTTAATTATGAAGATAAATTTACCGAATACGTAATGGTTATGTTTCTTCTACAAACATATATTTCTGCGTACAAATGAAATCTATCGAGGGTTCTTTGTTCCGTATATACAGCTGTGAGTTTTATTGATGTGCTTCTGCGCAGATACACATCTACGTGCTCGCGTATGCTATGACGTGGCGTTACGGTGATATTTATTCTCATCTACGATCATTCATAAATGTTACATTACCTTGTATAACGCTATAATCATTCGAAGACTCGTAATTAGAAATTCTTTTTTTTCCAATCGATCTGACACAGTATTTTATATTGCAATACATTCGCTCCGATTTACATACGACTTTCTGTCTATAAATAACTTCGTCGTTCATTTTCGTAAACTGTCATCTGTGTTCTATGAACCATGCTTTATTCTAGTCATTATGTCTTCTACGAAACATGATGCAAGCTTGCAATATTCTATTAATCCTTCTTTCGTTTTCGAAATCTGGATATTGGCTGCTTTTTTTTATTGAAACTTTTTAAACAGCCTAATAGTAACACAAAGGCTTCTAGTAACTTAGTATAAACGTTTTAAACACATCTTTTAAACATTGATTGTTACAAACGAGAATGTCTTTTAGATGTCTTTTTTACATCGTATCTCGACCGTAATTGACGTTTACAAGACGTTACTAAGACGTCTGCACCGTTTAAGTCTCAAGGGTAATTTCGAAAACCGTGTCGAATAGTATCACGCGACACGATAGCGTTTCTCTTGTTTCACATCAAAAAGTATCAAATCAATATAACGGCATTAGGAGCTGAAACATTAATTTGAGCAAATCCATACTGTCAGTTGAGCTATAGCATCTATTGGGGTAGTAAATCAAATCAAAAAATTAAAATGTATGTTATAAACATAATTGCAACTGTATAATATTTGAATATCTATGTCTCATTTATGAAGCAACAGGCCCCTCTTCATGCAGAATGAATTAAACAAATAGTAACGGAAGACGAAATTTTATTTTACCAATGAACTTATGTTAATTTTATTTGTGTATGCGTGGCATATACAGAATTTATAGTTTTATATTATATACATGTGCTGAATGTATAAACGATAATAAATAGAAATGTATATTCCTTACTGATAAAATAAGGCTATACGAAACGATGATCAAATAATTTACAATTTCGTGTTGTTGTTTTCCTACTGGCACTAATATAAAATGAGTTTAATATCTTAAATATAACGCGTGTGTATATGTATATATAATGAAATTGAAAAGAAGTTACAAAAATATAAACAATAACAAAATGCAAACAGAGAATAAATACGAAAATAATGATATTGGAAAAAGTACTTTTCTTTGAATTAATAGTAATGAAACATCAGTTTACTGTTTCGATACTGTTTTTGCAATATCTTTTGAAGTGGATGTGTGAACCTGTACTTTTTCATTTATGGCATGCAGGTATTGTGTAAGCTGTAGAAATTGTACCAAAGAGCTGATGCAAAATTTGAAATTATCTGTGTTAATAGTCCTCAAACGATGTATAATATTCGAGTACAGTCGACATGCAGCTTTATTAGATAAACGACCGACAGTTTGTATAGTATGGAGGAGTTTGTCTTCTTCATCTGTTTTTATATCTGAAATGAACAGAAACAAACGATGAGTAACGTAGATTATATCGATTAAATATAATACTAAGCACACACAACGATCTACCTATTGACTCTTCATCTCCTGTCGCGGGAAAATATTTATCTATAAGTTTATCAATGAGAACAGCTGTGTTATCCAACCCTTTAACAGCCACACTACCATAATGTGTTTCTAAAATTTGATTTGCCTTGCTCCAGCTCATATCCCGCAAGTTGGAAGCTTGTGCTAGTATTAAATAATTAGCTAATGTAATGTGCATAGATGCTGATTGAACAGTCAGTCGTGCTAACGAGTACGCGTTCTCCAAAATCTAAAATAATGCAAAATATATAAGTATTAATGTACACATTTTCCAAAAATAATTTCAGTATTTTTTATTCACAAAAATTTAACTTGTTCTCCTTGCAAAACTTCTTGCGATTTCTTTGCAAAATATTTCGAAGTATTTAGTTTTACATTTTTTTACGTTTATGAAAAAAAAAAATGTTTAATTTCTAACCTGCTCAGGTTTTTCCTTAACCATTGGAACTTTTTCCTCAATTTTATCAAGCCCAAGACATAATGTGTGATCAACAAAGTTTATAGGACTCTCAAATTTTTTGGCAATGGGTACAGCAATAGGTACTGCTTGTTTCGTAGCATTACTTAAAGATGTTTCCGCGGTAGTTAACACCCAATGTACTAACTGATGAGAATCTTTCACGCGCAAATATGTCTCAGCAGATTTAGACATCACACTTTCGACTACTGGAAGTCCCAAAACGCGATAAAAAGCCAAGACATGAGGTAATGACACAGCTTCAGTCGTCATTGTTGTAGCTCTTTATAGAATTCGTAGGTGACTCCAAAATCTGAAACAATATATTAATTATGAAAACCGGATCACTCCATTTCGAACTTATATAATTATCTTTGTAAATAATAATCATTGGAACAACTGTTTAAAATAAAGCTGAACGTATTTTACATCTGGAGCTATAGCTTATGCAAAAACAAATCATATGTAAATCTCACAGCTTATGCAAAAATGACTTGAAACAAAATAATTAACAAAAATAGTATCGATACATAAAGAAGAAATCTTGTTAACAATAATATGTCTGCTCCAAAATACATTTAGTTTAATTCAAAATAAAATTGTTATTATTGATAATTTTGAAGATAATTATGTTTTTATTTTGGGTAGAGAGTCTATTATAAACAAACTATAAACTTTATAAATGCTTTATCCAGTTCATCTGATCTATTAAACTATTAATTAATTAAAAACATACAAATGGCAAAAATAGTGTTTCATTTATTCTCCGCGAAATTCTGGAGTATATCAGGAATGAATTTAGAAGGCAAGTAATATACTGTGATATCGTGGGGGTCAATGAACTTGACGGAAATAATGTCTGCACATGTGCATATATCCGCCACATATAGCTCTATGTTCAATATTTTCTCGATTTTTGCTTAAACCATGATTTTACACAAGATTTCTCATGCTAAAGTTTATTTATATGCTGAAACCAAAAATTATTAGCAATTATTTCGGGAAAAGGTCATTTTCACTATCATGTATACTATTCTAATAATAGATACTTATTGTTTATATTAAATATATTATATTATTGCCATGTTTATTGATGCTATTATTACTTTCATATTAACGTATCGATCAATGTCACTTCATGATCGTTTGGAGAAGAAATATACGAATAGAATATATTTGGAGGAAATTAAAGTTATAATACACATTAATGACATATTTGTAAATTACAGAATAACGTCTCAAATTAACTCGTACGCGTGTTGGTTTTAAGCGTTCAAAACAATTAATAATAGATATGTACATGTCTACGCACGCGGTAAATTCCGACCTTCAGAAAGTTCTGAAAGCAAAAGGAAAATTGTTTATAAGTTGTTCAAGATTAGATTGCCTGCCACGGTTATTGTGCAAGGCCCTTTGCCGTGGTAGTTTAGTAAAATTCACTTACGATTGCGTTTTTATTGCCTTGATGTCCTTACGGTGTGCGTGCAGATTCGTCCGTGAACTGTCGCGTATGGCAAATGCGTCTCGTTGTACGCTGCTCCAATACTTATAACCTGTCTGCCGCCTGCGCGTTGAGGTTCGTCTGAATTAGCCAATGAGAATCAACCGGTGACAACCGTCCCGGTGTTTAAACATGTGCCATGAGGTTTCAAAGTCCGCTGAGGCGACAGAGTTTTTCACGTTATCGGCGTTTCTGGCCTGTCACGTAAATGCGAATGAAAATCACAGATTAGTCGCGACAACAGTGAGGACTTTGTACCAACCAATGTTTTCATGAAATTGCGCACGAGTGCTTAGAAATTTAGAGTAATGCTTACAATATTTCGAAAAACTTATTTTCAACGCGCTTTAAATATAATAAATACGAAACACGAAGTATATTTGTATTATTTTAGCATGTATTTTCCACTCGGTCTTTAATTATTCACGTCTATCCAGTTCCTAAAATTCTAACGCTTACTCTTACTGCACCAATTATAAATTTTCTTTTCCAATTTATTACTCTTAGCCATTTAATTGTCATTTCGCAATTGCTGCCTTCTAAAATTGCCTTCGTACTACAGTTTAGTCTGTCTGAATCATCACATTTCTCAATGAAATGCTTTAGTATTCATTTAGCATACATAATGTCACTTGCATAGGCTACATTACCTTATATCCTTGTCGTCTATATTTTTACATTTAGTCCTTGTCTGTTAATATTAATATTCTGTAAACATATTTATTTTTGTTTTGCAACAGATTTATTCCTTTCCGTACTGTATCAGTTTTGTCTTCTGTGTAATGCGTAAAACTACTTACTTTATTTTTTATTGTTTTCTACATAATAAATTGTAAACGAAATTAATTTCAATATTTATGTCGAAAAAGTATTCGGACACCTAATACATGTCACTGCTTATTTGCTTTAGAAGGACCGTTTGTAAATTCCTCATAATTATTTGTAAACATCAAGCGCGTGTCACAATTTAATCGAAAAGGACGTTCGCGTCTTCTCGATAGTCGTGATAAGTGAAAATTAATTCAAAATTAAATGCTTCTAATTTAATTGTAAAATTGTTTCAAGAAACTGGCAAAAAAGTACACGTGAATATAATTCACAATGTTTTAAGACACGCTGTTTATAATTAGTGGGACGTAAATTGTTTTAACAATTAAATAGTTAACTTTTACTTATATAAAATTTTGAAATAGAAATTAAGATTTTATACTGTATCGGTTTTGACAGAATTTTGCACTAATATTATTTCTTCGTTTTGTATCTCGTCTTTTCTATCTAATCTCCTTTTTTATACATTGAAATCATGTAAGGTTAGGTTGTTAAACAGTAGTTCGCTGAACTTCGCTGTTTTACCTTTCTTCCTCTACAGTATCTGACTCAATGACGTTGATTTATTATTTAATACGAAAACGATAGATACAATTGTATTAGAAACTGTTATCTAAGGTGTAGTAATCTAAATTACTTAGATAATTTGAAACAGTATTTAAAATATTATCTCGGCAAGGCGTATTTATTTTACTTCCATGCGTCATAACGGAAATAAATGATACAGTCTGGTAAATTGGGTAGTTTATTGTGGGCCATGTCTGATTTCACGAAACATTATCTTTAATGTCTCTCACATATAACCAAATATTCATTTAGCACAATGCAGTAATCTGTGGTCTCGTAAATATGATATTTAAATATTGAATAATGACAGAAATATTCGTTTTAATTAATTATTTGAGTTTCTGATGAAAATTCAGTTTCAATATAGATCAAATTTAATGCTACATATGAGAATCATCGATAAGGACACAAATTATTAACTCCATCCGGATTACACTCTTCCCAGTATTTTTTCTTTTACTTCAGCTGACCAATCAAAAGATCTGTGGTCAGTAACCGACGATCTGTAACGTGAACATTTGCATTTCAAGCAGACGAGAACTACAAGAGCCAATATCAGTATGTCATTTGATTCTTTGTCGAAGATACATGCCATGTTGGAAACTTCAAACAGTCCTCTATTCGTTCGTTCGACGAATCGCGGCGGAAATACGCGAAATAAATCTTCTCTGCGATATTACAACGGAGGAAAAATAAATCTTTATTTCTACACTTTCTTACCTCTAAACATTACATTTGTGCACCAGAAATAGACATTGTTAATTAGGTGTTAAACGTAAGAACTGAAGGCTAATGCGACACCGATATACTGTGCCGTCGATAAAAATAAAAGAAATCAATTGCTTATTTATCCGAACGTGAGGAATACAAAGTTTTGGAGTCGTGTCATTGCGGCATATTGGACGCAATTAGCTCGTGAAATTTCGATCTGAGATCTTTCTTGTTGTCATTGACCTTGAAATAAAAACAAAAAACACTCTTGTGAAGCAACTATTAAACGCGACTTTGTTACTCGATACCATTTACTGGCGGATTGGAAGACATCGACATGTGGTTATTGTGGTTTTGTTGATGGCTCTGGACTTGTGTTACTTTAGAAACAGTTGGACGACCAGCTAGGAAAGCTGCGAACTGCTCCTGTAAAAGCAATGCCAAGATGCAACGTTGAATAAATAATAATTACTGAAATTATGAATAGATTCAACATTTTTAACGGTGGCCAATGGCTTATTCAATTTATTAAATCCAAATTATCCTATATTTTCATTTTTTTAGTGGAGCCAAGAAGGGTTTCTAATAGGTGATATCATATGGCTCTCTGCAAAAGTATAATTACTTTGAATTCAGTAACACCTAAGAATTAAGTTTGAAGAGGAAAGCCTTCCACAACAAGATTTAGCGTAACTCCGATAAAACGTTAATATATACTTCACAACTTCAAGTTTCAATTATTAAATTTTATCATAAAATGTCATGACAGGGAAATCTGTTATTAAATTCAGAGTTATGTAAATTTTGTTGTCCGTTTACAAGTTGCTTAATTGCGACAATGACGATTACAAGAACAAATTGATTAGCTTTCACGTACCAATAAATGGTTTGTAGTTGCATTGAGCCTTTGTATGGCCGAATGTAAAACTGATAATTGCGTTTTCGTTGCGTCTTTTCTACCGATGACGGGTACCATCTTAAAAAGATCGTGTAAAAGTATATTTGTAACAGTCTAAAAATGTTTCAGTTTCGAATTTAATTTATAACATTGACGATACCGACCTTAAGCGTAGCCTCTGCAACTGTGATTAGCTGGTGAGAAACGTTAACAAGAATTCTGCCAAGATCGCGCGGGGATCTTCTTGCTAATGTTGACGTGCCATTTACAAGATGGACAATACGGCGTGCAGACTCACGAGTTAGTAAAACTAACAATTGTTCCAAAGTGGCTGGTCGAGCTTGATTCTCTGGTTCGGGCAAACTTAACGTTGCCCACAACTCTTTGGCTTTTTGATATGCTAATTTTGGATCTGTCGCTAGCTGCAAGACGTACAATTCTGTATCTTTGCGCAAAATAGTTGACATTGTGGTTGAAAAATTTTCCCAGTATTAGTTTAGAGTGTACCAAAATCGATATTCAACCCAGTTAGTTTGCAATATATCGCAGCATATCGTAAAATTTTCCTTAGTGCCTTGAAGGAAATCTAATAGATTAGCTAATCAAGACCACAGAGAAGAAAGGATGAGAATTCATTTTTTGTTTTTGAAATTTCTGTAGATGTGAGTGTATTTTCTATTCTAGAAAGATAATGTTATATTGAGATCTCCACACAGAAGTCGCCATATTATATTTAATGATTTTCTGACAAATTATTCCAGAGATATGAAGCAAAATAAACGCCAATATACATACATATGTGAAATATGATACGGGTACAGTAGAAGCTCCATTTTCCGATTTAATAGGGAGACACAATAGTTTGGTTAAAGGAATTTTCTGATAATAGAAAACATACTTTACTCAAATGAATTGTTTCTTATTTGAGGTGAAGAAACAAACACAATACCGTTTAAAATGATGAAATAATTAAGCATAATTTGTAAAGAAGTAAGATAAGTAGCGTTTGTTTAGTTTAGATACGATGTATTTATATCTATGAAATCAAAGATTTAAATGAGCCTCGAACATCCTTCATGATTTTTTGTTAATTTTTTATTTCACCTTCTCTAGATAATATCTACTTACCAGTTCTACAACGTATAAAAGCACGTGAATGCATTCTGTTCCTTGCTCTTTAAGGGCTCGAGCTTCTGCTAATGTGCGACGCGTCAATCTCTTTTGTAATTTTCTAGAGAATCTAGCGCCATGCTTGATAGTCCGCGTAGTTTTACTCACAGATTCGATTGGAGCATTCTCTAAACAAATTTTTCTTATTAAATAATTATTTTACAGCAGGTGTAACGAAATATTTTTACCATGCCTTTATAAGATTCTTATTTTATCATTTCACAATCTTATCATTTTATCTTTTAAGGTCTTCAAAGTGTTGTCAGTATTTACATGGTGGATAACAATGTACATTAATAATTTTTAACGGAATGCTTACCATCTATGACTTTATCCGTAGGATCAGCAGGCAAGTAACGATCAACGTATTTGTCCGCAACAGTTATAGCACCGTCTAACGTGTCTACCGCAGCGTTCGCAGCTTGACTTCCTATCTGCTTTACGCTTCCGGCCCGCATCAATACAGGCCTAACAATTTTGTTGCTCACGTATTCCCGTGCGTTGCAGTATATCTGAGCGATTAAAATGAATGGAAATATACGAAAAGGAACACAGCAGAACGTCTAGGGTGTTTAATTACAAGCGGGCAATAAAGATTGCTCGCCTGTAATTAAACATACGATAGACGGTGCAAAGAAAATATTTTATACGTCTACGTATCTGAATTGATATTTGTTTAAAGAAACAAAGACTTTTTTTGCATTCTGTTCACGTGCGTAAACTTACAAGATGGGGAGGTAGGTGCACAGCCGGTACTCTTTCTTCGACGATGTCGATACCTTTACAGAGCAATTGATCGATCGTCGTGATGGCTCCGTTTAGCGCGTAAATTGCTGGTTTTGCCGATGCCGTTGCGATCGCGAATGATTGTTCAGCTGTGTATAAACTCCAGCTCATTAAAGAATTTGACCGCTAAACATTAAGAGTGATCGTTTCGTTAATTGATATTTAAGATGATTTTGTTCGAGTGAAACACTGTTCGAAAAACTATTACTTAATAATTTCTTGAAAGTACGCAGCCAGTGTTTACCTTTATTCTATCGTACACATTACCAGCAATATGTATACCGTTCTCCACGATTGGCAGACTCGAGATTCTGACAACGGATTCGAACTGTGACAGATCAGAGTGCCGCCTCTTCGAATTTGTTCGCGCCATTTGTAAGATCGTTGCTGTAATTAATTAAAAATCGTTTTAGAACTTTTAGAAACACAAGTTTCGTTGCACAAAATTCCGCGAAATATTTGTGAAACATTAGGTGTAACATTTAATTTAGTTGGAACTATTTAGTATGATAGGGAAGTGTGTTAAGAAAGACTTAGGAGCCGAGAATAATTCGAAACTAATATCTAAAAAATATTACAAAATATAGATCGCAGGGTCTATTACGTCGATTGAACATTCTTCCACCACCGTGTTTATGTTTAGCATTTTAATTGTACTAGTACATTAGTATGCAAAGTAGCCTCAGATCTACAATTGCAGAATAGTCAACTTAGCCGAGTACTCGTAGGTACATTGATCTGTTAGAGCATAAATAAAATATTGAGCAAACGTTATGTCGCAAGTTAGAATTATATAATCGGTTCATAAGACTTTTGAGATTAAAACTATGAAATATACAACGTTGTGTGTTTAAATTGGAATAGAAACACTAAATTATTCAAATAGATGTTAATAAATTAACGTTACACTACGAAACGATGCATATTTATATTCACTCAAGCAACGAGCGCCAGTGATTCATATTTGTTCAGTTTTCACTAATTTCTTAGACATGTTACATAACTACTCAATTGTACATATAAGAATCTTATTTTTCCAGTATTTCTAGAAAATTTATAGAAAAATAACGCGAAGTAACAGCTACTGCGAAGGAAACAATTAGGTTTCTAGCAAAATGTATACAGTTCCAAGACGTGTGGAGTCAAATCATAAAATTAATATATAAAATTCATAGTTCACATTAACTTATGATTCTACTGCTGTATCTTTACTGATGTAGTGACCTAAACAATATATCAGAATGTTAGATAACATTTGTATATCTCGTTTAAGAAGAAACTTTGCACCTTCCTTAGCTAAATTCATTCATGGATAGTAAATAAATATGATTAGGATGGTCAGAAGCGTAGTAAGCGGTAAATATAAATTTCTTTCCAGCTCATCCTAGATACAAGAAATCACACGATATTATCAAATGTGACGGACATTCTTTTTTAACGATTATATACAGGGTGTATCATAATAAACGAGAAATCTTATTGAAACTATACTAAAGAATGGAATAAAAATTAGAGAGACGAATAATAAAATCAACATTGTACATACATCATTCGTTTGCATACTTGTTAGTTATTATGAAACGTACAACATTCGTTGCAATAATTCCAATTATAGATTTCTCTTTACTGATCTGTACATTTTACACTGACTATTTTAACACGATAAAGTGAATGTTATTACTATTTTAAATGATTGATAATTTATATCAGTCATATACTGTAAACTTAGAAAAGTCTGACTCTATTCGTTCCATTCGATGACTAACTACACGATAATGGTTATCAATTTTTCTTTTCATTTACCAAGATAAGATTGATGAATGGATTATTAGATCAATGAATAACAGAATATACCATGACAACAGAGAAAATCTTTATAACAATTTTACCAGAAAATTCTAAAATATTGTCTACAATTACAGTTCGATGTTAGTTCAATGAAACGAATGGTAGCGAAAGCTTGACACGGAGGGTCATGCTACAACGTTCTTCTCGATCATTCTTTTAAGAATTTGAACAACTTCAATCATTCAACCGGCCTCTTACTCAATAATAAATACAAATTAGCTTCGATACATTTTCGAATATGATAAACAAGTGATTGTTTCACACTTTCGATAAACGACGGTATGTACATGATTTATGATTCTTTTCTCGTATTTCTTCTGGTACAGTGGAGATAAACTTGATATTTTGAGTGCTTTGTCGGAAGAAAATTAATTAGAAAACAGAAACCATTTTGAATATCTTCTCAAGTATAACAGGTATGTATTTGTCCTATTAAAACGCATAAAAACGTATTTATTATTATTCAATGTCATTTGAAGGTCAACGTATCGCATGCGGTTGCATTTGTTTTTTTTCCATGAGCTACATCTTTACATTAATGAAAACTAAGTCGAATGAAAAAATAAGTCGATTAAAAAATTGTACGCTTATCGGAATATTTGCCCCTCCGAAACAATCTTTTCCATTGACAAATATTCTATCGTATATAAATAATGCTTATTTTCAATTATACTAAGTTTAGTCGTAATTCAAAATCGATTCGCCCAATTTTTGAAAAAGTCTTAAAGTCTATTATATTGTATTATGCACTCTGGACAAACAAAATTTGTTAATACATTTACGAAATATTTCTACAACATTGTACAATTGTAATTCTATTTTTGAAGACCATTAAAACCAAACAAACGGTAGATGGAAAATGTTTGAAAACCATTGGCGTAGACGAGCCAGCCCCCGGCTAATTGGAAACGAAAACAATTTATGCTTTTTTACCGGTTCCGGAGCAATTATCTCCGTTGCATGTTGACAAACTGACGTCACGCATTTCAAACTTGCTACGATAAGTTCATTTTAAATGCAGGTCGATACCCCTATTGCTATCACTCTTGTCGAAGCACCAATATTCAATATCTTCGTGGCGTGAACACGAAACAGCGGGGTGGGAAGAAGTGTTCGCAAACTCCAAGGATAATCGTATCTAGGTAACGCAACAAATGCACGGTTCTAAGTTTTTTATTTCTTCTTCTCTTTTTTTTTAACGTGTTATGCTCGTGTTAATTCATTTGGAACGATCTCAAGAACGCGCAGGCGAAACGCGCGAGGCGATACATTCGCTTTGGAATCAATATTGAATCGAAAAGCGAGCGAAAAACTAACTCGACGGATAGCTAACTCTATTGATTGATGAATACTCACCTCAGGGTTTGGATCGTTAAGTGGACCGGCAGCGGAGGGAGGATCTGATCACGAAGAAATTATATAACGGAACGTAGTAGGATGCAAAGTCAGATGGAATGGCAGAAAAGTTGGTGTTTCGTCGAAGAACACGCCACTAACTGCACGTCGCAGAGTGCGAAACAGTATCTCATCGGTTTGACCTATGACATGCTGATACAGGCGCGGCAACCATGTTGCCTTACAAATGAAACTTTTCACAGTTTCTGCTACGTCTTCTGGTCCAATAGGATCGATAGCAACGTCCATAAGAATTGTCCAATACTAGGGTCAGTCGTTGACCACTACCAAATACCTGTAACAATCGGTGATGTTACAAGAGAAATCGACAAAATGCTGGAAGCAACAGAAAGACCAAAACTATAGTTGCGTGTGTTTGATAAATTGCGATGGTGGTATAAATCTATATAGGTGTTCGTAAAAAAACGCGTAGTATTTTATAATAACGTTGATTTAAAAAATAAGTAACAGTTGTCCATAAACATAAAGTTCTATATAAATTGACACATTTTGAAATTACAATATGAAACAATTAAAACTTCTTATTATATTTAAACAAATTTAGGAAGTAAGTTCACGATTGTATATTATTTTTAATAGTTTCCATTTAAAATGTATATTGTATAATATTCGTATGACAGTACTCTTGAAATGGAACGTGGAAGCTAGAAAGTTTCGTTAGGGAATCACGGTAGGCGTTCATAGGTAATAATAGTCTCGGAAAATTTATAATGGAAAAGAAAACTACGCGGAAAACTCGAAATTATCGCCAGTAGACGTTCTTAATTGCTATACAAAGTCCACCACAGCGAGCACCCATTTGCATATATGGGATGGTATGGTAATCAGCTGGATACGTGTGAACAGAAATACATCTTATTTTTTCACAGCACACTTCGCATTCTGAAAAGAGACATCGCGATTCTGTCGCGTAACGCAGATACGCTCACGATAAGTATTATCTTATGGTACGAATAAATATGTACACGGTAGTCCGACGCTACTGGTGCCATTTCGAAGCCACCGTGTATGCATATTAATTTTAAATGGGATTCATGTACACGAATTTATTTATTGCAAATACATGAATGTTTTATTTACATCAACGAAAAATTCGAACGATCGAAAAATATGTAACACACGTTATGAATTATCTATGTACAATAATTGTGCGTAGCTGTAGAAATCGAATTGAATTATCTTTAAATCTAATCAGATTTTTAAATGAGAATGGAGTACTTAGACACCAAATTTCATTCAACTCTATTTAGTCGTTAACAATTATGTTACTATACATACACGTGAAAATTTTTTTTCTTAATTGTTGGAACGTGATTATGTGATGTTAAAACATGTTTTTATCAGATAATCAGTTATCAAGGGATTAACTATTTAATGCACCGTTGAATTCTTAGTACTTTCGAATGCGACACGTAAAGAATCACCTGAAATGGAATTCTATAAATCAATAAAATCTCGTACTTACGTGCTACGACGATCAGAATTATTTGAAATACATGACAGGTCATCAACGTCAAATTTGTCAAAGAACGACACGTACAACCAGAGTATTCGCTGAATTCATCACGCATGACGTATGATATGTAGGGTGCATCGTATGGACTATGATCGCTAATTATTGAGCAAGTTATCACTTTGTAGTCCTAAGAAAATATATAATGAGACACTTATAGATTGTTCTTTTTATCAAATTTTGAAGATAATTTCAAACCTGAAAACCAAAAAAGGTTTAATGCTTGTAATGTTTGTTCAAGATCTTGTGACAGTGTGCTTGTAAATTCCATAGTGGGAAGTTACAGAACTAAATTAATCTATCCTAAACTGTGTTTTTACTTCATTAATTTCGATTTAATGGTACAGATAACGAAGGAGGTAAACGAGCTCTTGTACGTTACTTGGAATGGATTCATATTCTAATAAAATGACTATTAATTTCACGTTGCATTTGTAATGCATGGTTATAAAAAGCTGTAACTTAATAAATTATAATCATTCAGAGTATACAATTTTATACATAGCTAGTTGATATTCTTATTTAATATAAATACTAAAAAATATGTAAATATTCTAAATAACTAACGAAATAATACTAAAAACGTTTTATCTAATTTATTACCATACTAGGTGTTTCTTTATACATTTATTATTTAACGTTATTCTCTGTTTTTAGAGAAACATTAGTAATTTTAAGATCATTGAAGCAACGAAAAACAGTTGAAATCCTACTGCAAATTAATAAGTTGAATATCATCGGCGTTAATGTATGTATTTAAAATAATGTCATAAAAACATGATGTGTTCGAGACGCTGCAGCAGATTGCAATAAAACGATGATACCTATATTTAGTTTGACATATCGCGACTCCGCGTGTGATTCAATTAATTGTTTAAAAGGATAGTCGCCGAGCACGTTATCGTTAATTTATTTTTTTTATTTATCGCCATTACAAGACGCTTTCTCGAGAAAATAGACTGGGCGAAATGATTTGTTATCTTCCATTTCAACGGCAAGAGAGAGATAAGGTTAATACAATTTTTATTTTATTTTTATTTTAACGCGTCCCAAGGGTTGAAAATTAGGTTGAAAAGACGCAATAAACGTCATACCAAGCTTTATTATTAGCAGTAAAATCTTGTAGATTTTTTCATTATTAATTTCAATATGTTCGCTAAAAAATAAAATATAGTAACGTACAAGAAACATAATAAAATCCAAAAATCTACATAAAGAGAATTGTAATTTTGTCTATGATTGTAAAATTTAATTTCATCAATGTGTAGGCGGAATTACACATTTTTAGAATTTTTATTTATTTGTTATTTGTGTTCTATATATCAGGAAATAGAATAGGCTGTTTGTCAATGCATATTATTCTCGGGTCTCATTTGCAGCTTTTTTTTCAATAATAGGTACAATTAAGTTGTTAAGTGAACTCCTGAGTAAAGTAATCGTCCTTTCGTCAGATATGGAAAGGTCGGATTAATAGACATTCGTTTCGATGGTTAATGGAATAAAGGTTTGCCACCGGATTCAATCGAGTAACTAGCAATGTCAAGCGGAAAATTGCTGGCATTCATCTTGAGAAATCACTCGAGTGACATTTCAATTAACAGGAATAGCACCATTGCAGTTTTCTTTATGTTCATTGATGATAAGCGATAGCTTTCGAAAACTTTAGCTAATTGTTCGTGGCTTCACGTATGTACATACGTATCCGCCATTACGTCTTTAAAAAGTGCCATTAAGTAACAACGCGATAAGATTGTGTGTATCCATTTCTGGTTATATTCCAGATGAAAACTGTCGGAAATCGAACGTTTATTTTGGCATTAATAATATTTATTCGAAACGACGATCGAAGCCTTTAAAAAGCTGCGAGTACCATCGTTTCCATCGAACGTTTCTCGTTTTTCTTCCTTTAATATTATCTTATAAGAAGTATGAGTAGAAAAGTGTGAGACGAATAAAACAAGTATCTATTTTTAAAAAGAAATCTTCCATGTTATGACCACTAACGAGAAACTGCTTTGTGCGAAATATACACTCGGTTTTATTCATTCCTTGATGGACACCAATAAAAATTCCTTCAACCTGACAAAAAAAATTAAAAATTAAAGCATGAAAATTATAAATATTTGAGACTGTATTGAAACTGGACATTTGAATACGGCGCGTGGTAATAGAACGCAATTGCCTGGGACGTATGGCAGCATGCATCGCGCTCCTTAATCACAACTTAGCGAGTTATTTTTAAAACGTATTGTAATCGAGGTTGGAAAGTGATTATTGTTCGGGAATCCAAGAAGAAAACGAAGTTGATAGAAAGGAAATGAATCGCTTGAAACGATTACAATGCCAGGGTTGGAACCTCGCGAAGGTTTATTACGTATTAAGTAGACAGCGATCGACAAAATTTTATTCGAACAATACTGTTAGTGACCAAATTATTAATTTTAATTATTAGTTTAAAATATACATATTTCTGAAGAAGGCCATGGAGTTTAAGCACAACGAATCGACTAATTTCTTTATCAATCAGAAAGCAGCATTTAGTAGAATTTAAATTACATACGTAAATGAACATGTCAATCAGAAACATTTAAAGAAGTGAAAGGGAGGTCTAAATCAAAAATTTTCTTAAATTCTTTGTTACATCACCTGTCACACGTTTCGCGTTACATGCTATAAAGTTTCATCTTTTCGGTTCATAAGAGTTAATCTCCTTAACAGCCATTTCCTTCTTAGGTGGTCAAGTTGTTGACATAACCGTTTGCAGCGACAGTCTCATGATGAATAATATAAGGTTGGAAAGAAAGTGCCCATGAAAATTTACTTACTTTCGCACAATTTTTAACGCGTAATATTTTTTTATATTTTCTGAAGATATTCGTTAATGAGACTGGTGGACTAAATAAATAAAATCTGAACAATTCCACTAAACGTGACTCGAGATTCCCAAAAAGGTAATTTTTCATCTCTTGACCACCAATTCTTTCATTAAATTAATTTACGCAAAGTTACTCACCCATTGGAAATGTGTCGATTACTTCGATCGATCGAAAATACGCTCGACATCGTCGCTAAACGAAGTTTTCGAACCTCGCGTGACCACTTTAAGGAGCACATCGTGAGGAGAGATTGACCAGATCGTCGTCACGTGCTAAACGTGACTGACTCGTTACGATGTCGAATCTCGCGACAACCGTGCCCAATTATATCTATTTATCAATCGGAACGAACTTCCGAGCACACCGTCTCATCGTTCCAGCGGTATCAACACTGGTTCCCTGCCTCTGTCCAAGTGCGTGTGCCCCCTATCGATTCATACGAATAGCGTCAATAAGGAGCCATCAGATTCGTTTATGCAGGACATGTCTCGGTGTAACGCGTCTAATATTAGCCTCAATCAGAGCCAATAAAGGAGAAAATAGCGTCACACGTGTTCGCGCTATTATTTATCGTCCGCAACGTACACGTGACGCGATTCTTCATGAATATATAAAGGTATCTTGATCTTGAACGGACCTATATTCCGACCAGGCATCCTCTGCAGCGCGAGGCTACGCGAGAGATCTCGCACGTTACAATCTCCGACGTCCATCGATTGTTTATCGTGTGATTTTTACCGCGCAATAGCCGTAAAATTTATTATCAGCAATCGGTAGAGTCAAACGAGGATTTAGGAAACTTTGGCGCTCATCGAATCTTTACTGGTTGGAGAACGAAGAAAATTAACAGGATGCGTACCCTCAACACGCAACAAATCCTCAAAGACGAGGAGTGCTTCGAGATAATCCGCAAGAAGCTGCACAAGGACTCGATGGAGGATTTCTCGTTGATCACCTACGAAGTGGTGCCCATAGACAAGGTGAACGGTTACATGGGTCAATATTTTACCTTGAAGGCCACCGTGGCCTGTCCTCAGTCGCCGTCGGAAACGAAGAACATCAATTTCTTCACGAAAACACCGCCGCCGTTGACCAGTCCGCAATACGATTTTCTCCAAGAATATGGCTCCTTCAGGAAAGAAGTCGCCCTTTACACGACGGTATTTCCAGAGGTACTGCACGGTCCAGAGTTTAGATGTATTCCGGAGTGCTTCCTGGGGCTGGAGAACGACGTGATAGTTTTGGAAGACATGGCCAACAGCGGCTACGAAATGACGGACAAATTTAAACCCTTCGATTTCGAACACTGCAAGATTTTGATGAAAACGTTAGCTAAATTTCACGCCAAGTCTTTCATCTTCGAAGAGGTGTACCAGAAGAATTTGCACGACGAATTCTCTCACTGTATGCAAGAGACGCTGTGGCCCCTTAAAGATGGCCGCGCGAAATCAATGTTCGACGCCGCCGTGAAGGGCATAGTCTCGATGATAGACGCGATACCCGAGCTGAACGAGGATCAGAAGAAAGAATTCAGGACGAAGATGATCGATTTGTCCACCGGTCATGCTGGCAAACTCTTGCCATCTTCGAAACACAAAAATGTACTTTGCCACGGAGACTTGTGGGCGAACAACATTCTGTTCAAGTACGATAACGAAGATAAGCCTGTGGAATGCTGTCTCATCGATTTCCAACTGGCTAGGTAAGAGTCAAAGGATCTGAAAGTTGCTTCAAAATCCCCTTAAAATTTAGCTTCGATCGCTATTAACTGTCAAAAGCGGTATCACGTGGTGCTAGTTGCTCCTAATAAAAGGGAAATCTTGACATGCAAAGGGTCAATACATTTTTCAACAGCCATTAACTCTGGAGTATCGATGTTCTAGACTCGTAGATTAAATAATACTATGGAGGATAGTGCAAAAACTGGAGAGGGTGATGCAGTTGAAAGACGTACAGACGGATGAGATTAGACATAAACTTGGTATTATTAGGTTTTAAGAAGAACTTGCAAGTGTTTGCGAGACAAGATGGTGCGTTTTCTGTAAGTCTTGCTTAATCACAGACGTTGCAAAGGCTAGTGTGACGTGTCATGTGTTTTTTTCAAGGTTTTGTTTTTCTGTGGTAGCCCTATATTGAGGGATAGAGGTTCGTCTTGCATGCTAGTTGCAGTCCTGTAGACTCTGCGAAGGTTTGGTAAGGCTTCTCACTGGTCAGCGTTGATGCATGACGCTTGCAACCCAGTATCTCATTTCCAAGCAGTAGTTTACGATGGTGTTGAGAGTACACATGTTTACTTCTTTAATAATTACGAAAAAGATAATCTCTTGTCAAGGTGGAAGTTTTACAAAAAATTCCATTTCTGTTTTTAATTTATCATCTTCTGTCTTCTGTCCATACAGTGGGTCCAATGATCACCTGCTACCTATTCTCTCTCTTCCTATCTGTACTCGTGCATTCCTCCTGTTTTCGTATCTTTTGTCTGTGACTCTTTCTCAATTTATTGTCCTTTATCTGTTTTATTAATTTAGCGTGGTCGGCGTCGTATCAACCACTATCTTGCCTTTTACAATAACTACCAGATGTCGTCTGTTAATTACGATGCGTCATACACAAGTTTCCATTCCTATCTGCCATGTTTTTTTCACGATCGCGTTAACCTAAACTTACAGTTCAGTTATCTATGTCTCGTGCTTCCTTGTTCCCCTTTACCTTTTAATTCTTCTTATTATCCGCCGTCTGAGATTTCTGGTTTCGTTCTGTCTCCACTCGTTGGTTTTCCGTTTCCCTACATAAAACTGCGTACAAACTTTCCTATCACATGTTACACACGCCTTCTCGTATCTGTAACTCAAATAGCGACTCCTCCAGCTCTTGTATCTATCAGTCGCAAAGATATATAGGTATTCCCAGTTGAACGATTCAACCTATATTTAAAAATTATTGTGGTCACGTATGTATATAGGTCAATTGTTTTAAATATTACTGCTAAAACTGATTAAATCTGCAGATATTTTAAGCTAAAAAACTTTTAAAAGAATCATATTTCACACGAGGCAGTACCAGTACATAAAATCTTTTCTCCTAAATTGTGTCTTAAATCATTCCAGAGTCTAAACTGGTATTTCTTAAATTATTATAATGTATAGAATTCTGTTATTTAAGCAGGTCATTAATTACGTTATTACGTCAAAAGTTATGTTCAATACAGTAATTATAGGTAAGAAGTTTTAATATTTGTTTACTTAAACTGTTAATTATGTTATTTACGTCGCTGTGATTCCACGTCGTTAAAAAAGACACTTAACAGTGTCACCTCTCTAACTGACACACTTTCTACTTCTCTAATTCGCGTAGTTATTCCCACCATTTCATAGAATTGCTCAAACGGAGAGAGTTCCTATTATCGGTGTGATTCGCGATTGCTCAACTCTTTAACTGTCGTGCTTCAGTCCCGAACATGTGTTGTTAACTGTCAATTTTTATAGACGCGAAGCTTTATGTATATATTTAATTATTTCGTTGAAAATTGTACACTCGTATTATTAAAATTTTTTAAATTTTTAATACAAAAATTCCAGATCGTAAATATTCTTCCGAAAAATGGGAACAGTTTTTCAAAACTGCTCTTTCTTAGGAAAACAGGAAGTATTGAATTTGATCGTTTTGCTAATAACGTCTCTCTGGCAATTAATTATCTAGTTGTTTAGACTACGATGCTGTTTTGTAGACAAGTGATAGCAGCATTCTGTTATTAAGTACCGGCTTATATCAGAAAATTTTCACTTTTTGAAGACGTTCACGGACAGAGATTAACAAGCATTCAAACATGTTCAAATCTAAATGCAACTATCAATTTCGACTCGAATTCTACTTAAATAATAAACAATCAATATTCGAGGACAATATTTTCAGTAAAAGGTTTCTTTACGTACGAACGAGTTGATTTAAAGTCGATAGTGCAATAGCACCAAATACTAAATAAATTCTTCCTTCCAGGTACAATCCACCTGTACACGATATTCTCTGTTTTCTCCAATTCACAACGACTCGAAAGCTTCGCGAGGAACACAGTCAAGAGTTATTCGAAGTTTATCACAACTCAATGGCGGATGCTTTGAAAGAAGCGAACCTAGACATTGCGACGATTTTCCCTTGGAACGAATTCATCGAGTCTATCGAGGACTTGCGACTTATGTGCATCGTTCACGGTGTCCTGAACATACCGATCATGCTGTTGGAACCCACTGCGGCCAGCAAGTATTTTGCAGACGAGCCACATCTTCTGGAAAGTGTTCTTTACGTGGACAGAACGCCCCTTATTTGCGAACAATTAGATAATGTGCCCGAATATCGGGCCAGAATGTTGGACGCTCTTTTAGAGTTATACGATCGTGTGGCTGGATAAAGGCACGACGAATATTAGGACTTATTTTCAATGTAGATGCCAGAAACGCGATGTCGATCGAAATCGCTAACTTGGAACGTGAGCGATGAGCACAGCGAGAGTCTCGATAGCTCCAGGCAAAAACAATAAAACGAGTATTATTAGTCAAACGATTTACACCATTTTCGTTGGAAAACATTAAGCTTAATAAGAGTTCGTTTCAATAACGATTGGAATTACAAATATTTCCATTAATATCATATCGTTGCTGACGATTTGTTCAAAAATATACCTTGTTGCACAACTAGATGTCCATAGGTAGAAACACGAATCGTAGATTTTTGAGTAACCAGTCGCTGATGTTCGTCGAATTTATGCAATAACGATGCAACTGTTATCTGTCGATGACAGTGGTTGCTGTCGAAGATAATTAACAGAATGGGTTTTAGCAGATGTCGCTAAAACCAGCACTGACTGATGACAAAGTTTTACAATTACAGAAAACTTATTTGGTGAAGGTGCTTACGATAGATTAATTAATATACAGAATTATTTTATTACTGTTCTAAAAACCACTGTACTTTATATTGTTAATAAAATACCTTAAAATTACATAGATATTGTATAATATTGATTATACTTACCCGTAGTTAGAAATTACGATAAAAGAAAGGGAATGCAGAGAGTCGATTAATAATAATCGCAGTAAGTACTATAAATATAACGAATTCAAAATCATGAGGGCATGGATTACTCCGTCAGCGTGATATGAACAATAGACGCGATAGAGGAATAGGCTTATGCTTCAGAAAATTACGTATTGGAAGTCGGAATTGCGCATTTCCACGCTGCCGGTCTCATCCTCCTCAAGCCATGCTTGTAAAGTACCTGTTTTTTTATTAAAAAATGACGTGAATCCGCTCGTTGAAATGTGAGGCATAAGGGGGCTCTGGAGTTTACTTTTATGTATATAATTATTTATATCATCAATTATAATGAATATATAGTTATGTACAATATTGAATCTCATTCTTTAACAATAACATCAACAACATGATTAAACAACGTTCCTCATTGGTACACAAATTGTAAATGTACAGATAAAAAAGCATTAGATGAGGTCAATGAGGCATCGAAGGTGGCGTACGCTCAGCGTGCCTTAATTTTTTTCTCTTTATACATTTTATAATTCTCATATATATTTCAAATTATTTTGGTATTTCGTTCGATTTGTTTTGTTCTTCATTTCATTTTTGTGGGTTTCTTTATCGTTAATTATATTATACTTCGTTTAGATACACACGTTCCACATACACACAAATGCGCCGCGTGTATTCGTGCGACGCATGAGAATACGATTACGGGGGATGATATCGATTGAATCGGTGCATGATTTAATTATTAAAGAGAGTGCATGAATAATTTGTATTTTGCGAGCAGCTAGGCACGAGGTTCCCGTCCAGAGAGTGAAAGAAATCATGTGTAAAGAACGATCGTTGATCCTCTCCGCGTGTATCGTACGTAAACGGGCATATTAACGCATTTACGATCTCGTACGGTTAAGAGAACAAAAGAAAGAAAAAAGAAAATAGAAAAGAAAAACGACAATAATGGGGAGACATATCGAAGTTTAGGAACATTCACGCTTTCACGAAGTAAAATTCTACCGCCTGGCTCGTCCCACGCGACGCAAATCTCGATCGATCATCTAAAATTCTACACAAGGCTCCGACAAATTTCATCGTTTTGTCACTTAATGCACCACTTCCACAAAATTTAACGCACGAATTTTTGTTTCGTATATAATCGCAGCAAAGGCGAGGCAGGGCTATCGAGGATCTTCTATCCCGGGTGTACACAATTCTAATTGTTAGCTACGCTTGGCAAAGAATTCGACGAATACAAAATTAACTCTTACAAACAGACCATTTTTTTTTTTTTCTTTGAAGACAAAACATCACGATCGCGAATCGTGGTTTCGTTTTTTTCGTGTACGTTTTGTGAATCCTTCTTTTTTTTTGTGGGACCTCCGCCCGCGCCTCGAGAAATCGAATTTCATAAAAGGAAACAAAATTCTGTTTAAAATTCTCGATCATGCTTTCTTTCATGAATTTTCGTTTGTTGATCTTTGTATCTATCGGCAGCAACGTTAATTACGGCGGTGTCAACGAAAGTCTCGACTTGTTTGACGAAAGAAGAGAACTACAACAGTAATTCCTTGTTAAAAGTCTAGATTTTCACATCGATAACAGTTTCGGAATCATAATTCAATTTCACCTGATAACGAAAATAAAAATGTGTAATTATATCTTGGTGAGAGTATCGTCAATGGATTGGTAAAGTTTTCCCAATGAAAATGAGTACAAACACGACCTAAATTGGATTACTTTTTCAGAAATTATTAATACAATGTATAACTAAAAACACTTGGAACAAGGTCGTGTGTGGACTCATTTTCGTCTCGAATCCAAAGGGAATCAAAATAAAGATTATTACCAATTTGAAAAACCTCACCAATCCAATATTATTGGTAATATTCTCTCGAAGATATAACGAAGAAACAAAGAAACTTTATTTTGCGTTAGTGATTACCACATTAACACACTTTATCTCACTTACTCTCATTCTCGAACGAAAAGTCTTGTAACTTTTATCGAGGAATTACTGTATCGTCTTTACCTCGACTGCCTTGGCACTTATAGCGAAATATCCCGAACGTATTACGACTTATGGTCGCCAGACAATGTTGTAATTGATTTTATCCGACTTTACGTCAATGATATTTATTATCACTATTACTACCGCTTACGAATATCAATGAATTCTTTATCTAACACTCACTTCGTCAAAATAGTAGACGTAAGAACACAGATTCATGCGATAAGCTCGATTCCATCACTACTTTCATTGAATGTTGTCGAACTGTTAACGTCCGAACCATCAGCCAAGACAGTAAAGGATGAAAGATTTTTCAACCGGACAACTGATAGGTTTTCCAAGTCAGATCTTTCGTTGACTGTATCATAGTGTTCTTCGTACAAATCTACTACGCGAAACTCTTCCTTTCTTCATCGCTGAAAGATTTCTCGACGGTCGACGCGAAGAGACGTCAGCTAACAGAAAATAGGAAAAAGAGAATCTGATCGCTGCAACTAAATACCATACGCGTGAAATACTCGATTCTCGATTTCCATAACCACTACTGGCTTGCTTTCGGTTTATCGCGTCAACCAATGGGCCTTCTATCCTTTGAATTTTAGCGCAATTCGGCTTTCACAGTTACGAACGTCATAGTAGCAGTGCTGGACAAATTAGTACTCGAAACAAAGAACAGAAATTGTTTTATGTATGCTGTATATACATCATCGATCGAATTACCATGGTCAATGTAAAATTAGAATTTCTGCAAATGTACAGCAAATAAAAACTAGTTTGAAATATTTATTTGATTCTGCAAATCTAAAATAAATATTTGAAGCATGTTGTATCGTCCATTCAAAGCTTTTAGCAAACGAACAGAATGATCCCCTAATCGTACGGTGCAAAGAAAGTTTTTGAATATTCATAAATTTGCACACAACCTATTTAATATAATTAATTCAATATTTAGTTATATGTAAATAAATCTATACATATACATTGCATAAGCGAATGTGCACAAATACACAAAGCTGTTTTCGTTAAATAATGTTTCTTTCGAAAATGTCATTTTTTTTTTATTTGTCAACGTAAATCAAACGGTTGCGTTAGATATAAATGCATAGTTTGTTTTGTCGCGTACTCTTTCGATTGTTTTCTTTATTAAATAATATTCCAAAGAAATAATATTTGAAACGGTCAATGCATGTGCACAGATTTCAAACGTTACAGCGAACAATCGTTTCCTTCGAAGTTATCGTTTCAATCAGAGCATTTCAAATAAATATTTCTAGTACACTAACCTATCTCACGTAAAATCAATCTCGTTACTATTTTATTTAACCAAAACTACTTCAATGGTTGCCTTTCCAATAGTTTCCATTTGAAATAAACCCAGCAATACTACAAACATCATAAGAATACACATCAACTAATTCGTATTGATCGATGGATGTTGCACGTGTACTAGTAATCAAAACGGACGTATCAAACAAAGGGAATATCTCCTATTATAAAGTGCGCGATCAAACGATTCCTTGCACGCCGGCGAATGTATGAAAGGTACTCGTTAAGTTTCTAGCGACTCGATCATCTTGCGCGTCGAGCGATATTCTTATAATCAAAAATCTATCGCGATCAGAATCAATCTGTATAAAACTTTCAAGCATTTACACTCACATGGAACCAAATTACAAACGTATTCGTTTAACCCGACGAAAAGGAAAAAAAAAATCCGAGCTCGAAAGCGCGTCGGTGTCTTTTGTTTCCGTCGATACCTTCGTACTTGGATCCGCAATTGGTAACAGGAACGCATTCTCATTAATCTTACAACTGCCAACGAAAGATCGAACGACTAAAGAGATCTTCGTAGGTCGAGAGAAACTAACCGATACGAATTTAAAGAAAAGAAAAGAAAAAAAAAACGAGTCAGAGAACAGGAGTACGGACGACATTTTGTGCGGCTGACGCTGCGCCTACTCTTTGCATTCGACAAGAGCCCTTCTCGCCTTAATTCGAGCCCGTACATAGAAAGTTATATACAACGATAAAACACGAACTGCAGTGGCAGTGAATAGTGCACATGAATATTGCAATCAGCAGCAACGGCGGTGGCGGCGGCGTCTCGTTAATTCGCGATACACGGCAGCGTCTACCACAGCTACGTACTTTGTATTCTTTCTTGTTCATGCTTGTAAATTCGCTTCGTTCCGTTTTGCACCATTTTATCGATTCAATCTAGCCGAATGCCACGACGATCGAGCGCTGGATCGACGTATTTCGATGTGTTGTATCGTGCTGGTCGTTGTCACACATCTCTTCTTCTTTTTTTTTCTTCTTTTTGTTGTTTTTTTTTCTACTTTTTTGTTTTTACTCGGTTTGTTTATTTTCATCCTCTTTTATTTTTTGCGTTTGCACTTCCCACAGTTCCGTGTATTGTCGTTCGGCCGCACGCGAATCGCTTCCCCTAGTTCCCTTTTTCCGTCCTCGTCTCTTCATGCATATTTCCTTTGGGTGTCGTGTCGTTTAGGCGCGTGTGCCTGTGAATTTGTATCGTTGTGATCGTGTTGTTTTCTCGCGTGTATGAGTATCGTTTGTGTATAACCGTGCGCGTACATACTTCTCCGTATGTTCCTCGTACGTGTGTGTCGTTACGTGTGCGTATTTCCGATTCGTGTTAGCACGCACACGCCCATATAAAAAGTGCGCGAGTGCTTCAGAGTGAGAAGGGAGATAGATAGATAGAGAGAGATAGAGACAGACAGAGAAAGACAGAGAGAGAAAGAGATAGAGTGTGAGAGATAGAGAGATAGAAAGAGAGAGAGAGCGAGAGTGAAGAAGTATCCGTGTATAGATGTATCCGTGTATTTTCCTTACGTATGTATACTTCCATTCATCCTTATATGTATATATACATACATGTATGTATACATATACATATGGATATACATGCATACATACATATCTGTATACGTGTATGAATGTATGTATATATGTACATTCGTATATACACATACGTGAGTTTCACAAAAATATATAAAAGAGAGAGTGTCTATGTATACACACATACGTGCATATATACCTATAATTTATATATATATCAATATATAGTCGATTTATACTCAAAATCGTGTGGAAAAGGGTCTTTTATCATGTATATATATATGTATAAATGTATTATAAATATATATATACATGTGCTTGTATAAATACATATATATACGTTTATGTATAGAACCTGTACAAAGTACTTGATTGAAATTTTCGTCCTTAGCCACAACACAAGACACGAGGTAAAGGTTACACGTTGCCCCGCACTCCCGTTCACACGCACTCTATTATATCTCGGCACATCGTTTGCAAGTGATACGATCTAAAACTATCTATACAAGGTGATTCTTGCAACCAAAACAAATCATAGTCCTTTTTTTTTTCTTTCGAAGAAAACCAGAGAAATATATTGTATAATTTAGTAAAATCTACTTCTCGCAAATTTAATCCTTTTCCAATCACTTTTACTCGTTTCATTAAACGCCTTCACGTCAATCGGTTCTTTGCATTCTATCGCGTGTAAAAGTACCGAAGCAAAGAGAAGCAGCAACATCTTACGCGTCTACGAGAACACACAGTTTCATAAGTCTAGATGCTTTATCCGCACGATTCAGACCCGTTCGACTCGATGCAATTGTCGATTGATATCACATGTTTTAAGAATGCTGTGAAAGTATGTTAGAAATTAACGTCCCGATATAAAAAAAAAATTCAAATACCTTGTCAGTCGCCTTCCTTTAGTACCTTTCTTGAGAGCTCGAAAAACAGGTTGATCTAAAAAGCATTTCGTGTTTTCGAAAGAAGGGATGCATCAGCACACGAAACAGCCGCAAGTTAGACCTCACTAAACCATACGATATTTTCCTTTACCAGTTTTTTTGTCTTGTAGCTAAGAGTTGCAGTCTGTTACAGTTGCAGGGACCACCCTGCATATGCATGTATACACATACATGTACATATATGCATACGTATTTTTCTTTTGCAGACAAGGCAAGGTACAAAATCACGATATGAGAGACGAACACACGACTCTGCCCTGCGAAGTGAACAATGCTTTTACGTTTAAGGACAAAAATGTCTTGATGAAATCGATCTGAATAAATTTTTTTCATATCTCTTCCGTATCTTCCGCGGTTTCTCCTTTTTCTTCTTCTTCTTCTTTTTACAGTTTACTGTAGAACGACAATATATTCATCTCTTCTGTACCTATTTACATTATCTTGAATGAGCTACAGCGATGGTATACGTTAAGTCGCAAAGGCGATTACAATTCCTTAGCGATCAGCCTTGAAGATGTTCTCAAGCGTTTAAGATTAAGCTGCTTGCTTCGCATTGTTTTAGGTATATATTTTCTCTTCTCCTCTGTACTTTATTCTGAAGGGATGGGGAGGGGGATTGAATCACACAGTTTTACTCTTCACGGTAAGCCGTTCAGTCCGTATATTGCCTTCCACGGAAGGCGATATATTTTATATCTTACGAAGATTTAGAGAGCGTAACGTGTAGCTACCCTCGGACCACGTTTCACCATGCCGCTTCCCGTTTCCCTTCGATTATTTCTTCTGTCTCGTCGCAGATCTTCATTGATAATTATTTATTTTTTTTTTTTCTTTTTTACCCATGCGTCACGATGTTTTGTCTCCTCTTTGCTACGACCACGTCTCAACGTAAAAATGTTCGGTCACGATGTAAAAATGAATCACGCAGCGATGAGTAACAAGGAACGAAGAATACTGCGGACACTATGAAGGGAAACTGATCCAGCTGCGAGTATCGAGAGAAACATCGCTGGCAACACGTGACCAGCGGAAAAAACGGACGTGCTGATGACTTGCTCTATGGACGGGGTTTGCGATAATTCGTTGAGGACACGCGATGTCGTACCAAGATGCCAGCCAACGAAGATTAGATGGATCCGTAGGGTTGACGGACGGCATGATGGCTTCCTTTGTACGATTATATATAGGAATAAGGTCCGTCGGTGAGGGCGCTACACAGCAACAGTCAGGAGGCCTCGTCCTTTCCTCTAGTTCCTCTGTTTGGCTTGTATTCGAGACCTGGATCGAACTGCATTAACACGAAAACCTGTCGATCATCAAAGAAAACAACAATACGTTACTGATTTGTTGGAAGACAAACACTGGTTTAAACATCGATCAAGTTAATTCGACGTACCTGATCTGTAGGTAATAACGTAAAATCGTCCGGTGGATTCGTGATGACGTATCGCTTGGACGAAGCATCGCACGACGAGCTCGTGTCCCGAAACCTAAAAAATACAAACGAATATTAATGGTTGAGCCGACAGTGGTCGATGGAAAACACGGTTACACGCTATGACTACATACACCATGTACGATCGAACGGAACTAAACTAAATTAAATGCTGGCAACAGTAACTAAGCACTAAACAAATAGATGACACAAAGACAATCGTAAAAAATGATAGGTATTTGTTGGATGAAGGCAACTTACGATCGACGTTTCTTTTTCATGATGCAAAAACGCAAAATGTAAAAGTATGCGGCAAAAAATCAAAAGTTACATAGTAAGTACGAGAATGGTACGGTAAAAAGATAATTAACGGCAGTGTAACAATTGCGGCAGCCATATGAGAAATCTTTGAGACAAGGTACGTGTACAATGTTCATGTACAGTAATCCAATAAATACCATCGAGAGAAGGAAAAAAGTCCGGTACCTGTACCTGTACAGACCAATGCACAGCATTCCATACGACTTTAATGCCGCGACAAAGAGGTCACCGTACTTGCCTCCTTCGCCATATTGGGCCAATGGCCCGTCATACAACGCGATCTGACCAACTCGACAACGATCTCTGTTGGCCAAGCTATCCGCCGTACTGGAAGCAACGTATACAAATTACATATCAGAGTTATGGTACTTGGACCATCGATTGACATACGATTCTAAGTGATATTTACCTGTAACCACCCCTTAAACCTGCTCCTTCAGCCAGGATTAATTCTAACTCGGGCGTTGCTCCACCAGTAATTAGAGACCGGATCAAAGTCAGCGCATTTTGGTTAAAATAAGTCTGTAATTGATAAATAATGTACATGTACGAAATTAATACGAGCATCAACCATATTTTATTATAAAACAGCGTGTATCGTTGTGGTGGTGTTGGAAAAGTGTGAAAGGAGTCGTCTCATCGAATGGACTTTTCGTGCATTGGCTTTGAACGACGAGGATTTATGGGGACTGGAATAAACATGACAGGAGCGTGTCGTGTGCAGGCGAAAGTATGTCTACACTTCGGAAGAAAGCCGATATGAACCGTCTATTTTTCAAACGTAGAATCGAAGCCTTTGTCGCCATTGTAAACGGGTTTTAAGTCGCGCGACGGTTTCGAGATAGTCAGAGGTTTCGGTTGTAATATGGCACTGATGGATTCACAGCAGTTAAAATGACACATGTTGGCTTCTGTCGTCACGTTAAACGACTGTCACACACGCAGACATTCACTGTAGTGGTGTACCTCTGTCACTCATTTCAACGTTAGCTTCCACACCCCTTGTTATTACAGTTGGAAAATGTCAAAACAAATAAAACAGTGGCTCGAAAGAGAATCAAGTACACCACAGTCTATTTTTAGTCCCACGTAATTCGAATCTCGCACAATCACAATTCCGGAATGATATTTAATGTACAGTAGAGTTCTAATTATCCGGCACCTAGAATATTCTTCGATAAATGTTACGGATTATGTTTTACACGAACAAAGAAGTCACAGCCGCATGTATCCAGCAGTGACGTCAATACAAAACAGTTGACGAATAAAATGTAAAAATCAAAAACGAATTTTTAAAAAAAATCGATAGGGCCTAAGTGCAAAAATGTTTCGGTGAAATTAAAAAATTTCAAATCATTTTGAAAAAATTATTTTTGGTTGCGGGGGTCACTTTCAATCACTTTTGATGAAAACAAATACCCCCGAAATCCTACGCACTTTTCAGAAAAAAATTCATTACCGAAAATATAATGTCTGAACAGGAACATTCTACTGACACTTTTCATCGAAAGAAAAAATTTCAGATCGTTCTAAAAAAATTATTTTCAGTTGCAGGGGTCAATTACAATCATTTTTGGTCAATAGATATACCCTCGAAATTTTAACCATTTTCGAGAAAAAAATTCTTTACCGAAAATATAATTTCTGGCCAGAAATCTCCGCCTGAATTTTCATGCGAATCTTTAAAACATCATAACTTCTGAACGGATTGAAGGATTTTAATATTTAAAAAGGCAAACAACGCGTATTTTGGCGGAGAATATGTAAAAATTGTAGCAATATTAAAAGAGTTGTTCCTTGACCCTGTAAAATGAGAAAAACCCCATAAAAATGGTCCAATATTCAATTAGCCATAACTCCTACAATAGTGAATATATTTCAATAGAACTTTTTTCTTAAGTAGAGCTCATAGGTACCTACTAAAAAGTATTAGACAACTTTTCTGTAGGACGTCAAACAAAATTACTAAAAATCAAAAACGAATTTTTAAGAAAAATCGATAAGAGTGCCTAAATTTTTCGGCGGAATTGAAAAGTTTCAAATTACTCTGGAAAAATTATTTTCTATTACAGGGGTCAATTGCAATCATTTTTAGTGAAAACACATATCCCCGAAATCCTACATACTTTCAAGAAAAAAAATCTTTTCTTGAATGTTTCTGTAATTTCATTTCTGTATGTACAATCCAATTATCCGGCATATATGATTTTTTTTCATTGCCCTAATCCCGAGTATGCCGGATAATCGGAATTTTACTGTATTAAGAAAATTAAAAATTACATTAGTCTGTTCTGTTTTCCAGTTATAATGCTTCTAAATTCTTTTAATAGAAATTGATATTCATTATCCATACAATTGATATCTGTATCCGATTATTGGTATAATTTATTGTACTCTTTTTTTTTGTTATTGTAAATAAACAGGGTAGTTTCAAATGGTTCATCTCGGTGTTCATCTCAAGCGTAGACACATTTTGATAAACTAAAAAGGCGATTGAATCCTACTTTAAGGCTAGCTGTGTGTTAACCGTCGAGTTGTCAACGTTGTATAGTCAGTAAAATTAATCGTAGCATTATGGAACGTCTTGTCGCGTTGCATAATTAATTTCAGCTTTAAGTACACTACTGTATATATAGCAGGGAGTTTGTCTATCATCATATTTACCTGTCCATTTACCTGTCCATTCACTTGTGTTCCTACATTATTAAAAACTGACGCGAATTCTGAGGAATCGTTTGCTTAGTATTCAGTGGAGTATTCCTTGTCTATTTAATTTATATCGATTTTTTAACACCACTAACCGTCGACATTAACGAATCTAACACGCTGACGGCAAAGGCAGTACCGCAAGCGAAGGGTTGGGTGAGGTAGAGTTCCGTGTCCGGATCGTCGTCGTCGTCCTGGTCAAGGAACTGCACGTTGCTATCGTTTACGAGTTCTGAGAACGAAATAGGAATTTAGAGACATCGACGCTCGCACAGGCAAACGAACCAAGTCGTGTTTTCGATACCTGTTATCATTGGCACGTTTGCTCCATAAACGGATCCTCGCCGCTGTAAAACGATCGGGCTGCCAACTGCGGTCAAATTACCTTGCTCATTATTCGCTGGAATTGCCACTTAAGATTTAATTGTGCGTACGCAACAATACATGGAAAGTAAAATAAATAGTAAAAAATATGAATAGGTGAGTCAGACGTTGTTGTAATTCAGAGATCGTCGCGACGATGCATACCTTGGCTGAGCACTCCAATCGTGTCGTCGAAGGTCATAGCCTTGATATTAAGGGACGCGAGGATAGCCTCCTTGTCGGCGAGGGTGGGGTCATCATTGCTAGGCACTTTAGCCGACAGGATGCAACACATGTCGCACAGATTTACGTTTACGGCGCGCAAATCTGCTCTGCTTAGTGGTGAACCCTGCAAGAATCGAGCCCGATTTTATATATACGATCTAAACGTGACGTTGGTGACGAAGTTAAATTTCAGCGATGCCAACGACGTTTAAACAACCAGGAAATATTCTTTACGTTTAGCACCGATATCTTTGGTAGATTCTGCAACATTTTCCACTCGCGGCGGATGTAGTCCACAGACCCAACTATCACTACATGTTTAAGCTCGTGGTAATGGAAATTGGAAGCTCGTAATGGCATGACGAGGTTTCTCAGTCCGATGAGGGGCGAGTCGGGATCGGCGAACAGGCAGACGACGACGTGCCCGTTGAGGACCGTCATGGCTGCCTGGTTACGATCCAATATGCAGTCTTCGAGGTTACGGGATGGACTCCAATGGAACATGCCCGTCGAATCGTACTTCATCTCGGTCTTCTCAAAATCGAAGTCCTTCGCCTGATCGTCGGCGATTCCGACTTGCAGACCGCCGTTGTTATTCACGTTCGTGCCGCCCGAGGCTCTGCTTGTTGGCCTGAAATTAGTTTTAACGCGCGGTCTTAACGATGTCGATGTCGATGTCTCGATATGAATAAAAATTCGAAGCATATATTTGAACCGTATCAATAGGCGGCACATAATCGTTTGCGTTGAGTTACAGAATTTGCAAAAAAAGTAGCTTACTAGTAACGGATCAGTAATATGTCTACAACTAGCATCGCTTTAGTTAAAGTTTACCGTTTTAAACAAAACGAATCTAATGCTTTAAGCTTAATCAGCAGCCATGTCTGGAAGTACAAGTTTTATAAAATATATTTGCATTAGCAAAGGACATTCAAGATCATTCAATTAATGCTTCTGAAGAAGAAGGGGTACTAGAAACTGGATACTTATAAATACAAGAGGTACATAAGGAACTTTATCCGGAACAAACTTGATTGCCACCAAGCAAATAATGCGGTTTCGACGCGACGATGCGTTGTTAATTATCATCGTGCAATTCGAACCGCATTAAATGATACGTTTCCTACTGGTTGGCTTGGCTGAGGTAGCCGTATTGAGTTTCGACTGAGATCACTCGATCTGCCACTCTTAGATCTCTTTCCTGGGATGAAAGAATCTACCATTCTTAATAATATTGAGATCATTTCTGAGACAAGAAACTATTTAACTTGGCCCTTTTAAATTGTCACATGCACTGCACTAATTAACAAAATGATTTTGAATGACCTAAACTAACGCAGCTCATCCTTTGTATATTTTACCATGAGGAATTATCTGCTCGTCGGCTGTGGTATGAATAATAGAACACCCTGTATAGCATCACATGCAAAAGCAACAAAACGTAATGAATTAACAAACTTTTGAGTGGTTAAGTAAACCATTATGTTTTTTTAAATGTAACTATTTGCAAAATCATGCTCAGTGACGGATCTAGAAGAGCTCGAGAAGAGGGGGGTTAATAGAAAATTCGAAATTTCGATAAATCAGTTTTAAGCAATTAAAATTCAGATAATAGATATGCTTGGCCATGCTTAAAAGTGCCAATCATTATGGATGTAAAATCATGCAGATATTTTACACCTGAAATGGTTGAGTGTTTCATGTTCATTTGTTAACCCGTGTAAATTCTATAAATGATATGTAACAGATTTTACTGATGACTAAAGACTAATTTCTTTTAAATTTTAAAGAAAACTCAAGACTAAGACTTTATTCAACATTAAAAACAATTTTACGAAAGCTTCCACAGATTTCCTAGCCTACAAAAATTATTATTTGGTAACCTGGGATTCGCATCAATTGCTATGAGACAAGAATGCTATTTTATTACCCGCAAGAACTAACTAAGTATCATAAAAATACCAGAATCATTATTTTTTTAGAAGTAATAGGTACAATGTATACATACTAGTTATCCATGGATACGAATAAAAAGAAAGCCTGCAAACAATTTTTCTTATTTGTTAAGTGATCGATCATAAAATTATTTTCACACTTTATATCTCCTTCGCCTTCGATGCTCTCTATACGAAGAAAACAATAAAGTATCTAAAACTATAAACCACAGTGTGAGTCGGTATGGTTAAAATTGAGATTGACGAACGTTGGAAACCTGTAAAAGTATACATTCGCATGCAATTAGCTAGCAAGCTTTCGCGTATGAAAATTACACGACTAAATATAATCACAGCAAACATCGCGCAACAAACGAGAGTGTTAACGAATAAAGCGTACATGAGTTTTTTCACTTCGTAGGCGAGATGGTAGCCAGGGTATGCAGACTCCTCTTGCGATCTAGAATCAGAAGGATTTTGCAACGTTGGATTTACTTTCGCATAGAACAACCGTTCCATTCATTCACGACGATTTATATTCTTAAACATATCGTGGTTAAGGAATTTCAATTATTTAATACGATATTCTTCGTTCAAAAATGAGCTTATCGTACTAGGTGAAGACATATATCAACAAATATGCAAAGCGAATACAAGAATTGTAATTTCATCTAAAATGGACAGACGAAAAGATCGCTAAAATTTATTCGAAACTTCTTCAGTGAAGTCCAATCGCAAGAAACTTTAGCAACGCCGACTTTCCGCTCGTCAGCGTCTCTGCGTAATTAAGTTTTCATAGTTCGATCCGCATGCTCGAGATCTTGCCTATCGAAGAGAGAATCTATAATAGAAATAATTAAATTTGAAACCACGTACCTTTGATTGTACGGTTGATTTGGACTTGATAAACTGTCGTTCGTCGCTCGATTTACGTTCGGTTTCACCTTGTTTACCTGCTTCGTCGAATTCATCATGGTCATCCCGACGGAATTTCGATGATTTCTCATGGCTGAAAAAAAAGAACGTTCTCGCATTAATAGGACGATCGGTTAGAAACAGAATGCTTAAATAACACTTTCGGTTTTGCAGGCACGAACAATTCTACTTATAATTTGAACTATTTTAAAAGACGTACTAATGAATAATAAAAAGTTTCACAAAAGTTACTATGCAACGTATATGTCGCTTAAAAAGATTCAAATCACGCGCAGAATATTTCTTCGTACCTTCGAAACCGGAAGACTCGTTTAAGCGTTTCGAAACATCGATTACATTTATAATACAAAATAACAATATCCATCGGCGAAATTAATTACATAATTAACTTTAAAACTGTACACTGCTCTAAGTTAAGTTCCCTTTATCTTCTAATTCTTAGGGCAGTGGAAGCTAGTTACGTCTCAAGGCGTTCAATTTCTAGATCAACTATGACTACTTTTGAAACTACGAGTACGAGAACTCTTTCAGATATTTGAACGGGCTTACGAATATAGAAAAGAAATTCAGAAACAAACGGCTCCAGTGTACAGTTTATCCATTGTTAGTGTACAGTTCTATTGGAGAAGATAAACGTCGACATACATGTAGATAAAATAAAATGCACGTCTAGTAAACGATAGAAATCCATTTAGACCGTGGCGATTCGTAACAATGCGCATTCGTGTTCTTTTAACAAGTGTTTACGATTAAAACAGTGCGGGGGTAATATTTTCGTGGTCCTTGTGCTGCGATGTCAAGAAGCATTGGGATACTCTCGTGGGGGTAACACAAGAAAATTAACGAGCATTAGGGGTTCATTCGAAACTCACCGTTTGGGTCGTCTCGTTCGCGACTGACCTCACCTACAATTAATACATTAGCATTAATTCGTATCTAGACTTCTCGTCTAGCGTAGCTAATAGACAAAGCAACAATGGTTAAGACAATTACAGTGTGTCACACTGATCGTGACCTAACACCCCCCCCCATTATAGCGCATTATACTTTTTATCAGCAAGAGCCTACAGTCCCATGCTTACAGGCACGCATACTTATCTCTTGCACGTGCCACCTCGTCAATATTAAATGGCCAGAATTGCAAATGACTAGCAAACGGTATAGTTTCCAAGAATACATCAAATATTTATTCACTATGTAAATTATAAATGTCCTACTTTCGTCTTATTGCTTACTAATTAAATACAAAAATCACATAATTATTTGCTGTTCGTTTGGTAAATGGAAATTACTTGCGTTCAATTTTAAAATATTTTAAATTATAAAATAATCTCCTGTCAGTTATAATAAGGTAGTGCAGCGATGTATTTAATATCTGAGGAAACTTTAATATCCTTCTGGACAAAATTTCTGAATAATCTTGGAGGCAATAAGCCTCGAAAGAAGCAATTTAAGATATTAATGAAAACCAAGGAACGTTCGCGACACAAGCAATTTCTAGCCATTATAACGCGTGCTAAGTATAATAATAGCCTGCGAAGGATAATAAAGAAGCGGTTAGGCGCTCGTCACGATAATCAGATGAAACACCACCTGTACGTAATAAATCGAGAAAATTAAATAGATCATGGAAATGTGCCCTGTCTAACGTTACCATGGAAAGAAATTTTAATAACAAATATGACCAATCTACCGTGCTCTCTACAACTATCAATTCATTGTTTTGCAATCGTTAATGTGACACAAATAGAACGCACATATTTAAGTAAGAATAAACTGTTAATATATCGAAAACAGATACAAGTGACACATATAACAAAAAAAGATTACTCTAAACATCCTAAACCAAAATGTTCATATATTTCAGACATATAAAATAGACAGAAAATACTGAATCGCTCAAAACATTTGAATTTGAACAGCATTTCTCAAACTATCTATGACGTTTAGACTAATACCAAGATCAGATTCAGAAAATAAATAAAAATAAATTTATGGCCCAGTCGAATATTAAATTTCTATATTACGTAACTATTCCTCAACGTAAAGAGTGAGAAACGCTGATGTTAAATTTCTGCTATACTACATACGCAGACGAACACCACAATAAATTTACTGCATTTATTTAATTACACGGAAAGATTCAATCATCGCGTGATTCTAATAAAATATCTGCTTTTATTTGAATGGCAATCGGTAATTATTTCCTCGAGTTATTTGGACTCTTTTGGTAACCAATACTGTATTATTATTTCGAATAAATTAATTACTGTGTCTTATTCATTCCTGTTTTTCCGAAACTATAACTTTAACCGAATGAAGGCTACAACAAAACGTGAGTGACGCTAAATGTGATATAAAAGCTACGAAATTTGATGATACTAGTACGTTCACTAAGCGCTATGTAAATAATAAATTCTAATGAATACTACGAGAAACAGACAATAAACGAAGAGAAAGAAAAACGAATAATGGTGCATTGACTAATGACTCTATAAAATTGAAAATCAATTTCTGTGATCTATGGTAGAAATTAAAGGGAAACTACAAAGAAACGAAATCAACTAATTAAACAAATTAACTTAATATACGAACTATAATGTAACTACTGTAGCTACATGCACTCATCAAGACCGGAGAAAGTAGTAGACAACAATGATAATTTATATTTCGTTTCGATTATAAACGAATAATTTATTCGAATAACTCTATAGTTCTTTCCTACTTTCTCCAAAATCGTTACAAGAACAGAGTAGGCGTTTTCCGATACATGTTCATCAAACATAAAACAGTATTGGATTTTGCTTAAACAAACTTAGTATTCAAATATTCAAGATAAATATATCAAATATAGTACTTAACTTATTGACCAAAATAGTTAGATCAAACAGAAATTCTATTGAAATAATACGTGAAGCTTTTACAATTAATTCGTTCAGAATAAATGCTATCAATATATAATAATATGAATATCACTTGTGTTTATTTAATGGAAAATACTTTCTACTGTTACAGATACTCTCATGAAAATATTTCCAGATTACGATTTTCCTTAAATATTGCTCAAACCCAGTACTGTTTAATGCCAAACAAAGTTTCTCTGAATTACTGAGAAATATCGGAATTGGCCATTGAAACGTAATTGTGATTATATCGCGAATGTTTACACACGTATGTCATAGATAAATATGTTGGATTACTTGAAATATGCAGATAATAAAATTTTTAATTCCGTATATTCCGGTATATTCTGCAAATCCTACTTATTTCGAAATGTACAATATATAAATAAATAAAAATATAATACACGTACAAAACATGTGAAGTATATACAAGTATATGATAATATTTGCAAATAAGAAGTGGAAGGCATTGCATTATAAAAGTATACGTTTGCATAAACATCCGAGATGTAGTAGTGATACAGAACCAAAAAAAAGAAAATCGGAAACCGACAGTGTGAACAGTTAAAGATCGAGAGCGCAGTACTTCTCGTGAAGCGGCTTTTCGAATTGTCTCGTACGTGAGATTCATTGAAAGCAATTGGTTACAGTGTACCAATATATCATGTGATTTATTGAAATAAGGAAGATCAGCTTGCGAGATTGTAGCATGGTTTTGATTGAGGTGTACCTGTACCTCTTACGTGAACCATCTTGGGCAGTTCTGGCGGAGTGAATGTAGGGGGAGGATGGTGGTCGTCTGTAACAAACCACTACACATGTTAGCTACCCTAACTAATAATCTAAGGCCTAATAACTACTCTATCTCTATCACTGACTAGAGTAAAGCTTCGTTCCAGCGTCGAAGAACGAACAAATTTTAATTCAAAGTCCGATTTTTCATTGTACATTACTTTACTTTGTTTTGCATAGGCATTTATGCGAGTACAATTGCCTCCAAAGTGAATTAATACTTCCATAGCAAGAACCACGCTTTGCACGATATCTTCACCGTGCCAAGCGATCGAACTATGGAGGATCAATCACCTGGGAGTCCTCAGCTATTGTACAAACTGATCTCACGCTGCAACAGACCTTAGTACTAATAAAACTGTCTAAGTATTACTGCCTAATCATACATGTATTTGAAATCTACCGTTCCCAATGCTGCTCGTGGCAACGCGGACGAGCGAACAATTAAAATGGACGATGCATTATGTGCACGCTAGAGGAACAGACTTCGAGCAACCGTGAATCTCCTCCGCGTTGTACAAACGTGATCTAACGTAATGCTAAAGTACACATGTTCATTATACCATGTTAAGCGCTGTACGCAGGCAAATACTTAATACATGCCAAAATTCACAGAGCCAAAGAACGACGATCGGCCGTGTCTCGGTAACATCGTGCCAAAGAAAAGTGATGCCTTGAGTAAAACCAAGATGGCGGCCGCGTTGGACGGATCCACGAATAAACAAGAACGTTCCAATATCGTAGGCGGGTATCTTTGTCTCTGTCAAGTGCTACTTAATCGTACTTAAAGCATGCAGTGATAACTTCTTACGACGTGGATATTTACTCGACATTGCCAGTGCACGTTTTAATCGGTATAAAACTTGTGCGACATACTGGAGGATTCGAAAGAGTGCTCGATAAATCGTAGAGTTCTACCGTGTTTAAGCAGAGTTACTAAAGGTGATCCTTGTTAGGAAAGGACCGGTGTGAAATTTGTCGTTTGCAAAAATGTATTTGCGAACGCAGATCGTTATTTTTTCTTGACTAACTAGTTTCATTTCCCGTTTGGTCCGGGTTAGGCTCATAGCATCAAGCTAGACGTAACGTAGCGTCTGTGAAAGGCCACTTTGCACATTTGTACAGATCGACGTCCTATGCAGGATGAGACCAAAACAGGCCACCTCGATAAATCCTTCGTCCTCGCGATGGAAAATAATCGAGAAGTTATTTGGCTACGAGTTGGACCAACAATTATTTTGATTGTAATCGTAAGGCACTGTATATTTATTTTTGGTCTTTAATCGAGACACAATGTTTTAAATTCAATTGAACGAGTAATTGAAATCAAAGTGGTACTTTAGAATATCTCGAAGTACTTTTTACGTATTTTTAGGATACTTAACTTGGAGCCAAACTTTTGTTCGTGAAATATTTTTCTACCGTGAGACGAAAAGAGTTGTTCAGGTGATCTGTTTTAAATACCTAATCCCGTATAGTTAGCATTCTAGTACGTGATTAATTTTCACATTGGATTCTACGATGCTTAATGTCGTAGGACATGCAAGAGTATATAATACACTTTTAGCATATTCATAAGGGAAAATACCGAAACCAGAAATTCGAAAAATACGCGGAACCACTGAGGAACAAGCGGTGAACGTCTTGAAAAGTTTTTTTATCTAAATTTAAATAATTCATATTTTACTTTGATCGACAAATAGTGAAAGTAATTAATCTAAATATTCAAATATTCATTTCGAATTGTAATAAAATTGTTTAAGCGACTGAGGACCTTCGGTAATATTTTTCATACATTTTTAAATATTTTCTATCGTCAAAGAATAATTTAAACCATAGGAGAGAATATAAAACAGTAAAATTTTACTTATCGCGACGTCCCTCGCGCGCCGTCAACGATTCGTTAATTTTTTGAATCTTGAGGTCAGGGATTGTCCCTTAAAAGCTCAGTGATATTCCAGCAGAAAAAGTAGGAAGAATAAAATAAAAACAGATGTGCAATAGGTGGAACTCTTCTTTCAGCGGTATCGATCAAAATAATACAGCGTTGCTCTGTAATTGATGATGGCTACGTATAGCCTACTTCTTGTGATCTATTTATTTTATGCGTCTTCTTATTATCACGAATCTAGCGGCAGTGAAATGTATTATATATTATATTGTCCATATAATATATATTACATATATGCGTTATTATTATACACCCGTTCCGTGGTAGACTTACTTGCATACGAGAAGTCTTCACCTACGTGGTAGTAGAGGACGAAGAGAAGAAAGTTCGAACAGATAGACACATAGAAAGTTAGTTAAAGGGTTCCTTTCTTGACTTTAGGTGTAGATAGACTGTATGAATGTTTTACGTGTATACGTGTTTGTGTCTGTATGTACGTGTACGTGCACGCGTGTCTGTGCGGTGTATCGTTGAGACTAGGTATGCATGTGTGTCATAGATGCCTATGTATGGCGATACACATTAAAATATATACACGCATGGATCACAGGTGAGTTACAGATGAGAAAATAACTTGTGTGAGGCTCTGATGAGCGATGCGAGTGAAAATGTTGATTCTTCGTCTTTTTCTATTACATATTTTATACGCACATTGCAGACATAACTGATTCTCTACACATTAACGTGAACATTGAAGTCTCGTTGCACAGACTTATTTTGTTCCCAGGCAACAAGTGTTAACAATCATGTGCGTTGGATTATTGATGACACATCGTTTAGATTGAGTCGAATTAGGAATTACGGAATACGCGTTGAAGAAGAAATATTAAATTCACTATTAACCCAATTGAAGCAGTTTTTTACGTAACAATAATCGTAAATTCAAATTTATGCGATGTTTCTTCATATAATGATATTATTGACCACGTGGGGAAAGAAATATTTCAAACGATACTTTGGAAAAATAGAGTCTTTTATTAGAGTTATTGATCCTGATAGAAATTAAAGATTACTGTCCGTGACAGAAATGACTTTTTACTTTAATGAAAACGTCTGGTTCTTCGAAACGTATTTCGTAATAAGCCAAAGCACACTAGTGGTTCATAGGTAGTGTAACATGTACGATTGTCCACACATTTGCAATGATGTTGAAAAAATTTAAAGGATCGAAGCAAGTTATCGAATTATCGCGGAGCAACGTCCCCGATATTGTCGTTAATTCAGCGACAAGACGAGTAAAAAACAACGCAATAAAGAACTAGCTCTAAGATACTCTAAAAACACGTCGAATGATCAGATATCGAACATCGATGCAAGATTATAGTTAAAAGTAGTTCAAGACTCAAGGCAATCACATCGCGCGAGTTTATAGTCGATTAGTTTTAATAATTCACTCACAGCAATAACCATCGAAAAGACACAAACCTCCAGAAAACTACATTCAAGACGACATTGATAGAAATATGTAATTTCAATTGAAAAAAAAAAAGAAATGGAAAACATCACATCAATAGGATTTCAAAACACTAATAGTATTCTACTCTGAAATCAATTGTTAATTAGTTCGGACGAAGTTACACTGACTAGCACAACAATTATATCTATGTGTTCTAATTGTCAGTACGAAATCGAGAAAATACTTATGTTATAGAAATAACTGTAAAAATGATCGATTAAACATTGTGCTATTCTTGTAAAGTATTCAATGCGAATCTATTCAATTTTTATGTACTTCCAATCACCGACGATCGTTTCGCGGTTAATGCTTTTTTAACGACGTTGTTTCATCAACATATAGAGGATTATAACCCAAATATCATAGCTCTGTTTTAAATGAAAATAGAAATATCTAAAAAATTCTGTTATCCTATTTGTTCCAAGTGCATCAAAATCTGTGAGAGTAATAATACTTATTTTATCAACTGCAGGTATTTTTTAATAATAGTTTCTTAATACTTCATGCATGAATATTTAAAAGAAAATAGATGTAAATACAAGCAAATATTATTATGACATTTAGTCTTTCTCAAAATATAGAAGATCAGTGAACGTACAAAATCAAAATTAAAATTGGTGAAACAACGTTGATGAGAACACTATCGGTGAAACGTTTGTCGGTGATTGAAACTGCATCGATTCGTCTTTTATTAGACGTTCTGTTGAACTGAATTTTATTAAATTAAGTCTTAACGAATTTAACTCTCCTAATTTATGCTTCAAACATATACGAATAAATCATTAATCGACTGTTGGAAATTTTGTTAAATTTTTTACGGCACTACGGCCGGTGTAAGCAAACAATTGCGTGAGGTAATGATTCCAATTCGTACATTTTTGCACGCTAAAACGTAAATAATTAATGTGTGTCGAATGAACGATGAAAGGAGAACTCTAGTATGCGTGACCTTCAAGTCGAATAGACTCATTTTATTAAATATCACTTTTAAATTACTATTATTGCCACGAGCATGAAATTCTAATTGTTCAAATTTCTCAGTCATTTCGAATTAAAGGTCTGATTGAATCGATGATTTGGCTAGTTTTCAGACGTTGGAATGACAAAACAAAAAGTATGATATAAGGAAATAATATGTGGAATAGAATCTACACGCGGGGGATACATACTTGCTCTTCCAACCATTTGAACAGCTCGCACGCCTTTCCGGAATGTGGCCACTGCCCGAAGGGAGGAGAACCAGAGCTGTTAGTTGTCATACCAAAATAATGTCAACCTAGATGCAGGAGGTGGCAACAGGTGGAGAGGGTCTATGTGTAGATCCAGTCTCGATCGATGGGTCACGTATTGCAGTCGTTCTATAGCAGTGAATTTGATACTAATTTTTAAATGTCTGGCGCGACAACCGATCGAAAACGATGATACACGCGCGCGCGTCATCTATCATAATGGAAAGATCATGTAAAGGTTCGAGAAACGGACATCCAAACGTATTCGAATTTCTATTGCAATCGTTTTAGAAAGATTACTGCAACGTGACAATCGACAGAGAAGTTTGTCAATAAACTGCTGATTATTGGTTAAATGACTTTGGTCTATTGTGAGGGGGTTAAAAAACACACAAAGGTACACTGTCCACCTCATTACGCAGTGGTCACTAGAACTCCTATTGGGAATCGTATTCTCTTACAAATTAATAATAATTACAGTGCTAAACGTTATTGTTGTGACATTGGTGAATGATGTTAAATGTGCGTAACGTGTGAAGGGAGAATGGAGTATTTTGAGCCGTTATGTTCGATAAACCCTGGGCATTGATCACCATCATCCATGTAAACTTAGAACTTAAGGAGTTTATACCGAAGGCATTCGCTTGTAAGCCATATTAAAGTTCGACGTATCGAAAGCTGCAAACGCTTTCGGGACTTTCACACCGTACACCATCGATCTCTCTTCTTCGTGAACGGGCTCACGGGTATTCGAACGGAACCTTCGAAGATCGCTGTAAGTCTATTTAGTTCAATTCGTAAGTAATAAGAAAAAATTCACCATTCGAAATTAGTTCTAGTTAGCAATTTCTTAAGTTTCCTCTTTGGACCGAAAAGGCAGTCGATTCTTTCTTGCTTGAACGCTTCTTTAAATTTTATTTATTTGATCTGCGTATTAAATGAGTACACAAGTTCTACTTATTTTGTCTGACGCCGCAATGAAATAAAAATTCCAGTTGTAGGTCTACCATGACTACACATAAATCTGACTTTACTTAGTTAATGAAATTTTTAATATACGTACATACAGAATATGTATTTAACAATTCCGCATGCAGAAAGTAATACGAAAACTTTAGAGAGATAAATTTTACTATTGGTTCTATAGGACCAAACGTTCCTCAAATATTCTAAATATTTTTAAACGTAGAACGAAAAATGGTGTAACGAATCATTTTCTTTTTATACTGTATAATTATTTTGTTGGGAAAACATTGAACGCCTTAAAAGGGATAAAGTTCTATACAGAAACACTATTTAACACGATATAACCATAGTTTTATAATCGATGAAAACATGCAAAGAGTAATCTGGAACAATGGCGAGTACAACAGAATAAAAGCATTTGCTACGAAAAGTAGCCGCATTTTAATTTCACAAGAAAAAACTGGTAGAACTTATGCACTCATAAAAAGGAAAGTGCCATATGAAATTACTGTATTATACCATATACTATTCCGTTCGATTAATATCAAACTAGAGTCTGATCTCGCGAGAATAAAATTTGTTTATTCGCGAAATGTTTCAAGAATTTTCAGTAATAATACATAATTTCACATTGTATGCGTGCGCAAAACGGCCCAGATTAATCACTCTGTAAAAAAATCTTACGATGAAATAATTTGGGCAATTATTGCGGTTACGCCTAAAGATTCGTGGTTCTAAACCAACCTACGAGTCAACACGGTTTGCGAATTGAAAAACATCCAAACAATTCGTTCAACATCATTTTCAAAATTGACAAAATCGCTTAGTAGAGGAAACGAATACTTTCTAACCATAAACGTGAGGAAAGTACTTTAACGATGCTTCGCGTGAGCACACTGAAACAACGGATAATTATTGCCAAGCCTGAAACGAGCAACTTTGTTAATTAGTGAAACGTAACAGCCATGAACGTGTAGACACAGAATATACGATTCGATAGAACGTGCTTAGCGTAAATGCGTATCTGCAGAAACAACGATTTCACGTGAGAACTGAAGCCAAACGCGTATTAAACGCAACTGTGTACAGGTTGCACGAAACGTGTTTATCGTGTTTTTCACGTATAAAATCACTTTAATTGGCAGACACTTGTTTGGTATGCTGCAAAAATTTACCTTGATTTTTATATTCGAGGTCAAACTTTTTCTCTTGGTTTCTATTTGTTCCTTTACTGTTTCAGTATTTATTTATACACATCATCCCTCACATTTCTCAACCTGTTTCGTCCAAAAAGTATATATCAAATGTTAATGAAATTTGTGTACATAGAAATAAAAGAATTTAAATAACTTCAAAATTTCAATAATTTTTGGTGAAAAAGCAATTTTCTCGCGATTTACAACTTCTTGTGAATTTCTTATCCTCGTATAGATTAAAATACGTAGAAATAAAAAAACAATTTGACCTTAAATTTAAAGATCAAAACGAAGCTTACAGTTTAATCCTTTAACAAATTCCCACCAATCCAAGCGTGTGAATTTATCTGTGAAATCCGCGACAAACAATTTTTTACATACTGTACATTCTCGATAAGTGAGAGAAGTATTTGTATCGCGTAAACTTGTGATTTCAACAATTGGTAAATCACAAAATGAAAAGATGGGCATAACAAGGCACTGCCGTTATTAATGGTCTTCGTCCGGTTCGAACTCGACGTTCCTGCTTCAATTAGAGAACGATGCTCGTCAAATTTCAGCTCTAGCAAAAGCCCAGCGAGAACAATACGAACCGAACAATGTCAAAGAGCATAAAGTTCAAAGGTATTGTGGAGTAAGTGCATGTAAACGTGGAGTATTAAATATTGAACTTTGATTTTGCGGTTTATTTGCATCACTTGTATCATCTTACCTCGTTCAATGTAAAACCAACGAAGCTCTGCTTGAGTCAATCGTACTCTCCGAATACGTTATTGGCGAATACAAACACATACACAATATGCAACAGATATGTTTACCTATGTTTTCCATGTTTGACTCAAACAGAGAAAATTTGTCAGAATAACGATCGGGTTTCACGTCGTCTACTGACCCGCGAACAAGTTTTGGCGCCTCGAAAACGCTCTTTACGATTATTCTGACAAAGTTTCGAAAGTAACTCGACGGGATTATGCATTGGGATCAACAGGACAGAGAGGAAGGTGCAAAGACGCGTACCGTCGAGGTAACTGCTGTAGGCAGTGTTTCCCTTCACCATGCCAGTCTGCATCATCATCATCCCCACATCTGCAAAAATCGAGCGATCGGCCCGGATACACGTTTGTGAATAAACAGATAGGGTCAATACTGTCCAAGTAACTCAAAGTTTGGGAATGGGGAGGTTTATTTGCACAGCTAAGAAATGTCGCAAACGGGGGAACTAAATACGGTCATGGTCACTTTCCTCAGATTCGTACGTTCGTAATACGGATTAATATAATTAGACCACTGAGAATCATTAACACTAGATTTACGGAAGCCGTCAATTTGACGGGTGTCTGATTCCATATTTAAAATTGCAGAACGCGTAAATATTATTTTTTAACAACTTATGTTGAATTTGATTGGTGCACTGGCATGAATACATATTCTAATTAAAAGAAAAATCGTATTGGAAGGTAATCGTCAACATGAAAGGTAAATCTAGTGTTAAGAATGAATGTAACTTGGCAAATGGTTTCTACGGTGAGTAAATTTAGTCGCGTTCGCGCACGAATCCGAGAGTAAAGCAGTTATTATTTACAATTTGAGTTATCTTCTGGCGGAGGGGGGCACAAGATGCTGAAAAGTAAAACACAGAAACTCGCCCATACATTTCGGATACCTTCGACGTGTTCCTAGCCATCTTCGAATACTCTCGCAGCCTGAAACGACTGAATCGTCGCCGATCAAAATAAGCGAAAAGTTCTCGGTAAATCTGGCAACGAAAATAGATTTCGTGAGAAACTTGACTGCCCAGGGTTTAAAATTCAATCGTGATGGACACTGAGTTCTGTATAGAACAGTGATCTAGATGAGCCCAGGTGAACCGTGTACATGGATGTGTATGTTAATGTCGTGTAACAATCGTAAACAACAAGTTAGGGTCTTTTAGATTAAATCTGAACGAAGGCCATTTGCACGAAGGTCCGTCGCAATGCCTTCGGTCGTCCTCGCAGAGTCTTCGAAAATTACCCTTACCATAGAAGTATCTCGGAACTGTTCGATATCACGGAAAACAACGTACACCGTGTGTCGGAATTAGAGCGTTTAGCGCAGAAGACGCGCGGCTAGTTCGCAATCAGTCGGCCCTATGGGCCGGCGAAGGTCTCATCAATGACAGCTGGCACGCTGAGAGTTCTCACACGAGCGGAGAAAAAATATGTTAAACAGCCATACTGGCAAGAGAAATAGAATAAGGGAGAAAGTGAGAGATAGAGAGATTCGTACGAAGCTGTCATGCCGTTTAGGCATAAAAATATCCGGAATTTGGGATCTAATCATGCATGCAAGACGAGCGAGAAGAGCACACACTAGAGTGCAGGCTAATTTGGTTGATTGGCCAGGTGGACATGCGCCAACTGACTGAACTATAAAAGGATTACATTTCACGTGTCATGTACGAATGGTATTTCATTTTTCACGTCGCTCGATTTAAGTACCAAAGATAGAAAAACGCTGACAGTTCGGTCAGGATCGAACTTTATTCGGACGACACGCAGACTTGTACGAACTGTATTCTTTAATCGATATTTTTAGACGTAGGTAGAGAGTTTATTTGAAAAATTTGGATTAGAATTGTTGGTTCGTACAATGGCCAATAAAAGGAGCGTGAAAAACGAATAATACCGAATCGGTGGCATCGCAATCGCCTTGAACAGTGTCTTTCAATGAAGATTAATGGTGCCATAATCTCATCGCCATTATTATCATCATAATGATCGTCACCACTGTCTTAGCGTATATATGCAAGATAATGGTTAGAAACTCGAGGCATATGTACACATAAGTAAGACACAGAGAGATAGAGATATGCAAAGAGACAAAGATATAGGCAGATAAAAGATGATAGAAAGACAGGGACGAGGGGGCTGGGATCAAAGAGGGTCAGTAGAATGTGAGAGAAACGTTTTAGAGGCAGAAACGTAGAGAATAAAATCAATGGTGATGAGCAAGTGGGGTGAGAGAAATTGTTAATGTTTTATGGATACAGTTTATGTGATAAACTGATAATAGAAAAGGGATTAAGAAGATATAAAAGAAAGAACAAAGACGTAAAGGCAATAGTTATAGACGATAGTAAAGGCTTAGCGAACGAGTATGAGACGTTACCTAAGTCCCGGCCCCAGGAGCGCTGCTGCTGCCCCACTAGATCACAATATATCACAAGAGGATGGTCATAACCATGTCACTTCGTTAATTGTCGCAGTAATTACTGCTACGGCTTTTTTCGTAGCATAGGGTCGCAGGAGAAAAGAAAGTGGTCAAGGGGTCGAAGGAAACATGGATAAAAAGAGCTTCCTGTGTGATTCGCCTGGTCTTACACGTAAGTCTATATTAAGTCGTTAACTGTTTGCGAGTCACACAAATTCTTCGGGTACGATGCAAATAGCCATAATTGATCTTCGATAGGGATTAAAATAATCGACTGACGTGTGATTCGCAACATCTTCGATATATCTGGCCGTATAGCTCTACGTACACAGATATATCGTTAAATTGTCATGTATAAAAGTATCTCCGGTAAAATTGGAGGTCGATTAGTAAGAGATTCGATAGCAGAGAACTCAACAAGAACTAAAAAATAAATGAAGAAACTGTTAAGGAGTGTCACTAGACTAGAAAAACTTACAATTTTTGCACTTGCATTTCTTGATCAGAGTTTCATCTTTAATATCCTCGTGGCATGCTTTGCAATAGAACCACGCCCTGAAAACATACAATCATCAATTATTTTCGAAATTTTGTACAAATTAAACGTAAAAATTTGTCAATATTCTTTATGGTTCCAGAGATATTGACAAAAATATAGAAAATTTTATGAAGAGGTGTTTTATAGAATTTTTTTTTTTGCAGTGAAAAATAGTAGTGTGATTAAGTTAACGTGTACTTTATTTTTGCAAAAATTCAGATCTTTCAGAGTATAGCAATTGGCGAACTTTTCTTTTCAGCTAACGCGTTTGCTCATTACTTGTTATTTCCATTTGCGTCGGTGTTCATAAGCGTTACTGGTTGCGTGGTATCATCTAGTTCTATCTATTTAGCTCATAGTCAGATTGATGGATAATAGACGATACTATACTGCCACAATCGCTTACGAACTCCAATGCAAGTAGAATTCGTGAGTAATGGCCAGACGCGTTAGTCACGTACTCATTCGCGTGCGTACGCAACGAATTTTCGAAATCGATTTTCTCGGGAATGAAGCCTCGGAGAAAGATAGTTAATTCTACATTTTCGATACACTTTCCACGCCACTTAATATTATATTTTCTTTAACACTGATATATAAATATTAACTATTATTGAACAGAACTATTTAACGTATTCAATATAACATAGAAGGTGTTCGGCCGACTCCTGGTAAAAATTCTAATGGGAGATTCTAGAGGTCAAAATAAGACGAAAACAAAGGATACTAATTTGTTGATTGAGGCTTTGTTAAAAAGTTATTAAAAAATTAAGTTACAAAATTTCGAATCATTCTGAAAAAATTATTTTTGGTTGCAGGGGTCAGTAACATACATTTTTGGTGAATAGTCATAACCCCAAAATCCCATGCACTTTCGAAAAAAAAATTCGAGTAGGTGCCTAAATTTTTTGGCGCAATTGAAAAGTTTCAAATCATTCTGGAAAAATTATTTTCGGTTGAGGGGGTCAATTACAATTATTTTTGGTGAATAGACATGCCCCCGAAATCCTACGCAGTTTCGAGAAAAAAATTCAAGTAGGTGTGAAATTTTTCGTCAAAATTAAAAAATTTCAAATCGTTTAAAAAAAATTATTTTTAATTGCGGGGGTCGATTGCAATCATTTTTGGTTATTATATATGCCCCTAAAATCCTACGTACTTTCGAGAAAAAAATTCTTTACCGAAAATATACTGTGTGGTCGGAAATGTTTCTATAACTTTTTAACGAAGCCTCAATCAACAAATTAGTATCTTTGATTTTCGTCTTATTTTGGCTTCTGGAATCTCCGTTATAAATGATGTAAATAATATTTATCTAACTTTCCTAGTTTTTAGTGAAACAAAGAGACCTTGCTTTGCAGTTGAAATCTGTATTAATCGTTTCCTCTTGGTATTTTGTTTATTAATGAAATTTCATCCTCACCGCTTCACTTCATCAGCAGATTGAGCAATGAAGAATCCCTGAGTATTTGCAACGATCTTGGCACCACGTGGATTGATCGAGATCTTACTGTCGCAGCCTCCTTCGCCCTTTATCTCGATCGCCAGCAGCAACAGCTTCAACTTTGTGAAGCATAACCTAGGACGAAGTTTTGCATAATATTCGAGATTTGTAAACAGCTTCGCGAGAAAAGAAAGCATTATTACTTACATTCACGAATACGAAACATTTATTTTATGTAATAGTATGTGTTCAAGCAAGTGCTGAATAAATCTGACAGAACAGTTATCGTTTGTAAATTAAATCTCGTGACATTCGTGTCTGAACTTTAAGCGCGTTGAGTATAAGTATTACAAAACAATTTAATAAATATTGTAAAGTAACTCGACACTCAGTGTCACGTGTGTAAACAGTGTCGTTTGAATTTCGTAATCGTAAGCTATGCGAATGACACTGTACACGTTAACTAAAAGCGATAATACGCGTTATGCCGTACATCTTGAACAAAGAACACAAACAATCATTAATATCTATCGCGTGAACGTACACAAACAGTAAAGCATACGTGTGGTCTATTAAACAAATAATGGTTCACCAGCATGCGCATCTGTATGATTCGTTAATATTTAAAATGAAAATTATTGCGGACTACAAACTGTTGCAACCCTTAGTAATACACAAAGCATTCCTTTAGATGTAATGGATTCAAGATGCGAACACAACAGAAAATAATTCATTTAAATGTTAGTCCATTATGATCTTTACTAATTTCTATTTTATTTTCAATGGAACTTTTTAAAGTAAAGAAAATAATTCAATTGATTGAATCTATATTATGTCACAGGAAATAATGCAAATTATTGGAGTTTGCGAGCAAAGTTCTAATGGACATGCGAGTATGAATTTTTTCGCTGCTTTCAGGTCCTGAATCCTTAAAATATTTTTCATGTAAAAAAAATGCAAACACTGATACGTGTATTTTTATTTTCGTCGTGAAAGAATTAAAATTGTATAATACTTATATCTCATATTTTTTAACATTCATAAGCTCATGGCGGGTCGTGTAAACGTCAAGCATTTCATTTGAAATTTTGCATGAATCATACGAGATATTATATCGTAGCAGGTGCACGCGCCCCTAGCATTACAAAGCTCTCATAGTTCGTTCGTTGTCCTTTATCTTTATTCATGAACGCATGAATTTTTACAAAAAATTGTATCGTTGCATTTGTATCGTCGATATAATATTGGCTGAAACGAACGGAACCGCGAGGTTCTGTTGCGCTGTTTCGGCAGAAAACGAAATATTAAACAGGTATGCAAAGCAGGTGTAACAGCAGGCGGTATAAAGCGGGAATGTTCGTATAATAGAACCGTAAATGTATAGTAGCTCGAGTCATGCGAAGATAGACGAAATTCTAGTGCGGTCTAGACTAACGCTCTAATATCCTATGCTACTCCAAAATTCGAGAAACAGGCCAACAAACTAGTCCTCCTGTTGTGTTCAATCGGAACGCGTATACAGGCACCGTGTGACATAATAATAATACAGATGTCTAGTATCTAATACAGCAAAAGGGCTCGTACTTGATGGATTGTATACTTCCGCACACACAAATCAAAGTTGTGACGACGAATCAGACGTGTACAAAATCAACAGATAAAATGGACGAAACAATATCCCTATACACATGTAAAATAGCAGTGCTGGGTAAAATAACATTTGGAACGTATAAACGTAGTGCGTTTATATATGGTTTAAGATAAGAAACTGTTTTATACCAATACTCCGGGCACACCATCAACGAACATTGCAAGAAACAACTTTATTTTACGTTGGAACTGCAAAATCAAATAATCCTCTGAAGTAATTACTCTGCAAAAATTACTGCTTCAATGGCCGTAAACAAATCAGATACTCGTCTAATATAAATATTAGAAATAATAGTATCATTTTGATTAATTTTTATGTACCTGTTTAGTAAGAATTAGTTTTAGGTAATATTTTCAGTGATCATTCTAATTTATTGTATACGGCGATCAGTATTTAAAATACCGTCGTAAATAATTGTTGACGATAGAAATAGTTCGGTAATGCCCAGCATTGACAAGTAAATAATACATGCAATAAATACGGTGCAAAAAACTGGGTCAAATAGGGCAACAGTAATAAAATAGCAAGGTAGACGTCTCTAAGGACTCAAAAAATACCATGTGATTTTAATCTGTGTTTAAAATTGTCGTAAATATTGGAATATCGAATATTGTATTTTTTTTTTCATGTACATATATATGCCATAAACTATTAAAATAAATAATACCCGGATAAATACCAATAAAAACGGCATGCTTGTGCATACTCAGCTGTTTAGCTATTGGGTTAAGTTTCGAAAAGTTATGTTTTTATATAAAATTAATTACATTAGCATAAATACTGTGTACTTCTCTGTAATATTTTATTATTCTTTCAGAAATGAATATTCAATATATTGTAATATTAACAGCGGTATATTTCTTTACTCAAGCAAATCTGAATGAAAAAACGGTCTGGCAGTAAGCTTTATTCTCAAACGAAATATGGTAGAATTGGTTTATTTTAATTTTGCATTAACCTCTAGAAAAATAAAAACTCAGGCTATATGAATCCCAACAGAGTCATGATTCAACAAATAAAAACTCTGCAGATAGAAATAGTATAACGTTTTCAATTAAAACAAAAAAGTGTTGGAATTTTTGGAACACTGTACACGATTGATTCAATTTGCCCAAACGTTCAATGTTAAACTTTTTGCCATTTAGTTTGAAATCGTTGATATTGCAGTTTTAATATTGTTTAATTTATTATAGATTTTTCGCGAATTAACCCAATGATTTCATGAATTAACCAGAAAAATTACCTAATATCACGTAAATTAGGGTGAAAAGGCAGAAAAGAGATGAAAATTATATTTAGATACGAATATCGTTTACCGTTAGTCACATTCTAGTACTTATCAAGTACCTAGCAAATTATATCTATAAATTTCAAAAATTGTTTTATTAAAATGATATAGTAGTGACATACTCGTGTCGTACTTGTGACGTACGATCACGGACTCACCTATGAAATTTCCCATAATTGATGAATATATGGTAGAATTAAAATTCAATATATTTTATATAATAAAGAGCAGCAGGCATGCGTGTACAACGAACACTTTTTTTTTTTGTTGTCGTGGGGAAGATTAAAACGCTACACCAAAGAACACTCGCTATGGCAAGGACAAAACGGAAAGAAAATTCATTTCCCAAGTATCCTTAACAAATTTGTCAAAAATATTTACGCTTTATGCGTGTCGATAAAATTTTTTCGTTATTGTGTATCGTATGATGCCGTAAAGACGTCAGTATAAAAATACATGATACGTTCTTATGGGAGGCATGCAGATTTCATCGATCTAGACAATTTCCAAAGGTTAATTGACCTATATAACTGGTCGTTAAACAGTGACATACGATCTACCGTCGATTTATTGGAATCTTTGTTACAAAATGTCTTAAACGTGAGATAATTGCTTAAAATATATGTTTAGAACGAGTCGTCTTAATTTCCTTAATTTGAGAAATTACCACCCTAATTAAAATATTTAATTAAATAAATAGCAAAAATGAATCGAAAATGTGGAATAAAATTTTCCGATACGTGGCTTCGTTATTTAGAAAATCGAATTAGAATTCATCGATTACGCGTTCGATTTAGCACCGCTTGGTAATCGCGTCTGACTATTATACGCACTTTCTACTTACGTTTGCAGATAGTGACGGTGATATGTTATTAGCTGATTCAATTTATCTAATCTAAATATAAGATCGTAATAAAGACAGATAATATCGTTTATAAATGTTTATAAACATTACAAGTAGGAATAATGAATAACAAACAAACAATTTACCTAAATTGTACATAATCCCGCGCGCAATCCACGAATTTGTGATATCGATTTTCTCGAAAATAAATGCTTGTATCAAAAAAATTTACTCTTCATTTTCGACTTATTTTTTACAGAAGGTATCGTTGTATATCTAATTTCATCACTAATCCCAGAATATCGTGTACAATTTATTTGAATAGCACGTGATTCTTGTAAGCCATAAGCATGAATTTTAAAAAGAAATAATTTGGTACTTAATGGATTGAACCATTCCTAACACCACTGTATCGGAAATTGTTTTAATCGGTTAATCGCCACTAGTTGGTTAATAGGAACGTGCGTGTATTTGGTTAACCGTGACCGTATTATCGGTACACCCACGTATTAACCAGATGTTCGATTACTAACCGGATAATCGGGATACTTGAACATCCGATAAAATTGGTAAAATCGGGAACAATACTAGGAACGTTGCGAAAATTATTCGATCCGGAAATACCAAGATTTTTAAAGCTTCTAAAATATTTTTTCTGTCACCGTTTGACTTCCTTGTTTCTAATCAACCTATCAAAATTGCATACATGTATTGTAATTTATGCGTGTACGTGTGTAACTAATTTTATCGATGAATAGAGAATACAAAGCAATAAAATATGCTTTATACAAATATGGAGGTGAAAGAATTTGACCATTTTGTTAGAACACAAAATCGTCTTGCATTCTACGCGTCTACAGCTTAATTATATAACACATAATACTATTCCGTAATTTTTTTTACAAATTTAGTGAACAGAAAAGCAAATTCTCCCAGCAGTAAATATTATGCAATTCGCTCAGTGTTATTTGATCCGTGCAAAGAGAAGAAAAGAGAATGAAGAAAGATAGACAACTTACAATTTCTCAAACAGCATGACAAGAAATTTATTTAAGAGATTCAAGAAAAATGAATGTACAGAAAAGTCACATCACCGCTGTTGCATTTGCAGAAAGCGAGCACACAAAATATTGGCCCTATTAAACGCTTGTTCTAAATATTGTTATAGACACTAATTAAAAGAACGCAAACGCTTGCACCTGAAAATTGATAAACGTAATGAAACTTAAGAAATAATTAAAAGGAATGAAATAAGTCGCCCGCAATTGGTTAAGAATGTTGTATAGTGTTATATATTTTGCTTGAGTGTGACTATAGAAATAGCCATTTCTGTGTCGCATGATAGCTTTCGTAAACAATTTATGTCAAGTATTAACAATAGGTACTTAAACAGTAAAGTGTAGGATATAGACACATTTTTTTTATTCAAAGTCTTTCTGCTTTTATGGCTGACTGTGTATATTTTTCAATATTTTATTTTGTCTGGTCTGGTTGAACATAATTGTTTTACTTCAAAGTGTTGCACTAACCGCATCAAGATTATGTGTGTTAATTACATGGGCTTGGTGTATTACTTCCTGCGTATTATTATTACTTTCATCATTAAATTCCAAAATACCCATAAACGAACGAAAAATTTAATTTCAAAAACTTGGATGCTTTTAATTAAAATATTTTTATCGTGCGGTATCTCACATGCAATTATGTAACTCTATATAGTGTATTGTTATAAAAATTCTAAAAACAGAGAAAAGATTTCAGGTAGTAAAGATAGGTCGATCCATGTGCAGATTTAAAGTGGCTATTTCCATAACGATTTTTTAAACGGACGGTTACTCCCAAAAACGAGGTACGCGTTAACGATAACTTCTTTTTATTTTTGCGACCTCCATTCACTTCTAAAATAGTGCTTACAAGGACACGCTAACAGTGCTTACGACGGTACGCCTAAGTTGCTGTGAAATCTGCATTCGTCCCACTATTAACTACTTCTATGTAGCGTAAAAATATTGGTAGAAAAGTCGAATAAAAAAAAGCAAAGTATTCGTTAAAAAATACAACAGATGTTACTGGTAAAATGTACGATCGTATGCGTATAAAATGTAAAAAATACATCCAAAATACCAAAGTACCAAAACCAAAAAAAAAAAAGAAAACGAAAAAGGAAAAATAACAAACTACGCTGACTAACAATATTGGTAGAAGAAAAGGAGTCTTTCAAGGAGCAAAAAAACCGAGGTGACATTCGTAATCCACGTACGAGTGTATGTACATGTTTCACAACGATGTCAGAAATACACAAAAGGTGTGCGAGATCCAGGATTTTAGACAGAGAAAGAATAATCTCGCACTCGATTGTCCGGTCGAGTGTTCTCGTGTTATGTGACCTGTTTAGACCTTTGATGTATCATTACTCGATTCTATGTGTGTTTCTGTACGTTTGCGTGTGCGTGTGTGTGTGTGTTCTTTGTATGCATGATATTGTCCTTGGTATTCAAAAATGTTTGCGTGTGTGGCAGCCAATGGCAGCGAGGACTTACTCGCTGGCTTGGGGAAATGTCATCCCGGTAAAGGACGGGGAGAGTGTTTCCGTGTACATCTCGCAGCCCGTGCCCTGCAGGTAATCATTCTGCCACGCCTGAGTATCCGGCGACTGAAACACCAACCAATCAGGCCCCACGTCAGCAAACCTTTCAAGATCCACGACGGATTGGATGAACTTAGCACGAGGAGGGATGCCGACTCCCGGTCTGCTTCTCCTCGTGCAGGCAAACAAGGCAGAATACGCTCTTCCGCAGGACCACACTGAGATAAAGGGAAACATTTCTCGAGTCGAAACGTTTATCGAAAACAACGCCGACGTATAATCATGTACGTCTTAAAAAACAGTTTCTGTAAAAAAGTCGTGGTTAAAGTTCCCAAACGAAACGCAAAATCCATCGTTTACTTCTCGTTGACTCTACCATTTCCAGGGCGATTTGAAACTGGACCACCGAATTACTCTTTTATGCTTGGAAATAAAAATATTTTAGGCAGACGTTGTTTGTGAAAAATGATTTGACCCTATTGCTCGCTTTAAATTTCACTTATCTTTTGAATGAGACGATAGGAATTTATACTGACAGTAATATTTAAGAGTTTTATATTTAAGAGATTTATCCGGTACAACAAAATAATATTTTCGAATTACTGAAAATGCAGTGTAGTTACGTGCATTTTTATTGCAAGCATTTGTTTTCGCGAAAACTGTAGAAACGAATACTTTTGTATGATATTGTACATAAATTGGAAAATTACCAAACTCTCTGTTCGTTAATCTACAAATTTAAATATCGTTTAAGGTGATTGTAAAATGTTCTATATAAGTCCATCTACTGTCAGGTAAATGTCTAAACGATTTCTGCCAGAAATATTTTCCTCGTCTCTGAAACTAAAAAAGAGATTCGAATGGTTCATCACCCTGTGTGCTAATTCGGCTAAATTCGGCCCTTTCCCATTTTTGTCTGAGTCGAAAAAAGGAGAACAGGAGTTCCTTTCAGAGTGTACACGTCGGTCGTCAGTCGTGGTACAAGGATCGCGTGGCTGGGAATCAAATTGACTTTGATCGGAAAGCGCACACTAGGTAACCCTTTGCTATCCTCTATACGAACAGCTTCTGACGAAAATAGAATGCTAGTATTGAACACTTCGGCTGTATATATGATCTTCGGCAAACTGCTTTTGGCCAGGTTCCCGTTGACTCTGCCTAAGTACGATCGTTAATCGAAAGATCTTCTCTTGTCATCGGTCATTGTCACGATCGTTATAACATTCGCGCTCGAGTTTTTCGTATTCGCGTATATATAAATATATATATACAATATATAAATATAAGCATGTTTTCATGCACGGTCTGGCTTGAGTTTTAAAGCTCTGTAGACCTGAACAGCGCTCTTTCATCGACACGACATGTAGCGAGCTCGATACTCGTTCCATCTGCAAGGCTGAAGTCGCCATTCATTGGCGAAACGAGCTGTTAACGAGATCGAGATGAAACCTACTGTACACGGACCCTAATGCTCACTTATTATCCACTTGTTGTTAATGCATGTTATTGTGATTTCTCGTTACATACGAACAACATTCGAGTCAATCAGTACCGCGGAGTGTCGGATCGATGGATATGAATAATTGACAACGAACGCTCGCGGATCGCCGGAACGAGATAAGTTCGTCCAACTGGAGATATATAGGATAATACGTCGAGAAGAGAACAATTTTTAATGGGAAACAAACATTGATCGAATTTTCCTGATAGAATCTCTGCGACAAGTGAAAAATCGGCCAAGTATGCAAGCTGTTGGTAGAAAAGTCTCAGTGGTTTTTCCCACTACTATGATTCTATTCGAAGCATCCACGTGATACGGCTTTATGAAACGTTTAACACATTTTCACGTACTAGAGTTAAATTTCCATTGATAATTTATGAGAAGTGTCCTGCATATACTAGCAACAAATACCAATGTAAATTGGAAGTAATAGTAAGTGACCTACTATATTTATATCAATTTCAATTTCAGCTGTAGATTTAATTTTGTACTTTCGATCGTGTATGCGTCGTGAGGGGGAATTTTTAATAATTTCGTCAGTTAATCAAGCAAGGGGATTCTTAGCACACGAAAATGTGTTACATTATTTTGTTAAACATATTATTATGTACATTATACCGAAATCGCATGTATACAGGGTGGAACATCAAGATGGGAGTACCTAGTTATATCTGTTGCACACGAACACATGGAAAAAACCATTTGTAATAAAATTAAACTGTTCGATCAGACGCACATAATAATAAGAAAATAATTCTTTTTCCCTATTATTTGTAAAAGATAAGACATTTTCATCGATCTGTAACATTGTACCATTCTACTCATCAAATCTCAAGATATTTACATTTTATTAACATATCTGGAAGCCACCACAGGTACTCAAAATGATGGTCATTGACATCAATGTAGAACTCTTAATAAAAGATCTCTGCATTGTAGATGTTGTAGATTCTTTTATCGTAAACAATATTTTTAAGTTTACCTCTTACATAAAATTCTACTAGAATAAGATCTGGAAACTGGGTTACCACTTTATAGATTCCTTTAGTTCGATCCAACATTGGATAAAGTTTATATCCAACGCTCTTGCAATTCTATAGTAATGCATCGACCACCCGTCGCGCTGAAGGCACGTTCATGTTATACTATTCAGTCCTCTAAACGTTCCAGTAAAATTTCTTGAATAAAACATGGTTAGACGATCCTTGATGATACAATTTCTTACGAAACGTTCACAGTTCATGGCTCTTCCTTTTCCGCTTCTTGTAGCTATCTTAAATTTCCAACGGTAAGTGCATACAGACTATATGATTAGTATAGTACATTTTTGAGATCGATGAATTCTTCTCTTTATCCCCTCAAAAATCGATCACTTTAAAATCTTGAAGAAATTTTATTTACGTTTCTCTGAACAGTTTAATCTTATTTTGGACAGTTTAATTAATGTGATTCATAAACAACGATGATAAATTGGTGTCCACGATCGAATGACCAACCCTGTGTTTAAGAATATCCATGAAAATTCTATTCTACAAGGTCGTATATTTGCGTGCAATGTCATAGACGAATGCGATCAATCAAAATTGTTGCAAATCAAATCTGGTAATTACGTTCGTAAACGTTTCTCTGTAACGGGGTAAACCAGCAAGCTTACACGCCATCGATTGTCCTCGACGTGTCTAGGAAATCTTTGATTATCCATGTCCGTGCAATCCGCGGTATCCGATCGAGTTTGAACCGTACATGGAAGTTGCGAAAAACGGGTGAAATTACTGTAACGTTACTAAAGCGATGAAGGGGTGGCTTACATCGATTAGGTGTAGAGCACAGATACGGTACTGTATAGTATAGTTGACACGTTCATATAGTATATGTATATACAGGGTGGACCGTTTGAGTGAGAATACCTAAATGTCTCCGTTGCTCGAGGCCGTATGTAAAATCTTTTTAGGAGAACGTTGAACCAAGAAAAGATGTACAAAAATCATGAAAGAAAAAGAACTATTGTCTAAGATTATTTTTTTTTGTTTCCTCAAAATCATATATATTGTTTTAGTCATGTTCTCTAGGATCACTCTGTGCATAAAAGACAAGAAAAGATTCTTTCAAAAATGATTGCTGTACACAATGGAATGTTTGAACAACCTTTAATTTGAAATCTACTTTTGATATTCTTACGTTTAGATGAATGAAACATAGAAACAAAAATGATCTTGAAATCTTGGAAAGAATAACTTTAGGAAAACGTTTTCCTCTGTCACTATATTTGCCACTTCTAACAGTATAACTTTGTCCTGAGCAGCCTTTTCATATATCTACAAGCAACGGAGATATTTAAGGTCGAGTCAGCCAAAGAATAGACTTGGCTGATGGGAGACGTTCCAGGAACGAGAGCCTCACTCTCTACATAACTCCTACTGTCTTGGCTGCTTGTAGCGAAGTATTCCAAACACGTCACAATTTTGTGATAGACAAACAATATAATCAGTATTTAAAATAGTAAATATACAAGAACTCTTGCAAATGATCTCCAATCGAAGAGTAACAAATAATAATACTTTTTCAGTGAGTGAATAAGCTACTAAGCTTTTTCGGTGAAAATGATTCCAAAATTCATTCTATTTTTAAATATACATGAACCATTTTTAAAAATATTTCAATTAAATAAAGTCGAGTTTCGATTCATTTTTGCTAGGATAATATCAACAATTGTCGACACGTTTTCCTGTTTTCTCTTTCTAGAAATGTTCTCCAGTGGCAAATGCTGCCCTCTTATTGATCAAACAAATCTATTCATCGTGGCGAGTAACGTGTCAATAATTTCATATCGATGCAACGAAAAATATAAAACTTTAGTTTTTGTTATACGGATACAGATGGCGGAGATTTCGAAATTTTCATCGAGACGAGAGTTTGAACTTTCGAGGGGAAGTAACTCGTAAAAATAAAGATTCACTGCGATATGCTCGGTCCCATCACTACTTTCGTTGAATGCTGACGAACTCTGAGCATCCGTGTCGCCAGCCAAGGCAGTAAAACGTGGAAGATTTCCCCACTACCGAGCAAGTGGTGGGAGGTCTTCCAAGTCGATTCTTTGGTTGACTCGACCTTAGGTGTTCTCATTTAAATGGTCTAGCTTGTATATACAGAGTGTCCCGAAAATCCCTGCGAACTTTCATGAAAATAAGCGAATTTCAAACGACTTCATACCGACACTTTTACGGGTATATTTTTATACAAGATGCAATCATCAAATGGAAACAAAACCGATCATTAGTTTGCTTATTGCATTTAATTAAGTTCTCTGATGCGTCGTTATCAAATTATAAAATCAACTTTAATGGGTTACAGTTATTGTAGTTTGTATAAAAATATACACGTGAGCTTGTTGTTCAGAAATCTGTTCGAAATTCGGCCCATTTCACCAAAACATGTAGAGATTTTTGGAACACCCCGGAGATATATAATCCATATAATGTATATATAGCACAGTGGAGCGTAGTGAAAGACATAGGCGAGGCAAAGCTTCATCCTTTTTTTTTTTTCTTTCTGATTCAAGAGACTACCGACCCTTCTCAAGTGATTCCACCGTCGTTAACGCGGGCACGAAAAGAAATGGTTGACCGAGTCCATGTATCTCTGAGACACGGATTCTCGCGATAAGAATTCTCGAACAAACTGTATATATGTGTTTTTCTGAAACGAACATTTTAGCTTTGGTGCTCGAGATTGTATGATCATTATCCGTGGACGTACAAGGGTAAGCATTTGCGAGACGAAGAAACTTTTCCAACGAAAAAATTCATCGACTTCTTCGAACGTTGGAACAGCCATTGCGTTATGGGTGAAATGGTCGTGCTTTAATTCAAATTACGAAGGCTCAGGCTTTATTAATTTGTTAATCGTTTTAATAAAACGTAGACGAGCAAAAGTTACCCATAACTGTTAATCGAATGCTCAAGTAAATCGCAAAATAACTGTTGCAGGACGAAGACTTTACTGGCCCAAAAATTCGTAAAATTATAAAGCTTTAGAATCAAAAAATTGATTTCCAAATTATTGTATTTAGAGTCTCGAGGTAAAATTCGTCAAATTGCACACATTCCTTGAGATTTATAACTTGCTGAATTCTCGAGTCGGCGGTCTTTCCTTGCGAAAAACAATTTAGCTCGAGTAGAAAACAATTAATTTTCGGTCAAGTAAAACTGATATTAAATTTCGTTGAATGTTAAGAATGCATGGACAGGTACTTGCAGGGTGTTTAATTTTAATCTATAAATGGATATGATCTCAGAAAATACATTGAATTGAACAAATTGAGTATGGTGAATTTGAAGGGAATCGAAACAAATCGTTAGCATTTTACAAAGAAATTTTTTAAGTGGAAAACGTTACGGATATTCTATGATCATTTACAAGTAGAAAGAATATTATAAAATTAAACCATGAATAATTTTGAGGAAGTATATGATATTAAACAAGAAAATAGTAAATAATCATTATCTCCTTTGAATAATTTGGTCACATAACATAGTCTATTCTAAATAAATTTTCATACCATTTAAACAACCACGAATGAGTTTGACATATCCAGAACGGTTCCACCATAAGATTTTCCTTCGCGAAATTCCAACGAGCGGCTCGATCTCCTGCAACCTTGGCACAATCAATTTGCTCGAATTAACGGTGCTCCTGTCCAGTTAATTTATAGATGAAAATACAACACCCTGAGCTACGGCACAAAACGAACGCGCAGAACCACAGATCTCGTCTCTTGAATCAGATATGCAGTTATCTGGTGGATGTTGGATTGGTCATGAACCGACTTACTCAGTGGCTTTGGCAAAAGGCATTCCAATGAAGGTAGGGCTCAGTGTTTCGGTGTACATCTCCATTCCGGTTCCACGTAGGTAGTCATTCTGCCAAGCCTGCATATCGGGCGACTGGTACCAATCAACCAACTATTTCTAAATCACACACGCTCCTATGCATGTACGGATTTCTCGCGTTTGTCCACAGTGAAACGACCGTGTATCGTTCTCGCACGTCGGCTCTCTTTGCTCAACGTTTCGATCCGGCGACAAATAACGAAAGAACCCGCGGCCCCGATGCACCGAACGCGCCCGACAAAACTATCGACAAAATTCGAAACAGTGATGTGGTGGGGGGGGGAGGAAAAAAAAGAAATGCTCGACCTGCGACATCAGTTTCTGAAAACATCACCGACGAGGAAAAAATGGTTTCGCACGCGATCACTGTGAACAGCTCGACCATGAAAAAACCTAAGGAACATTTTTCACACATGCATAGATAAAGAGAATCGGCAGATTATTCGTCTGCCGGTGAACGACATTCTACTGACCGTCTTGAAAGAACGCATAGCGAAGAGATTGGCCATCATTGTGCTGAAACCCGGGGCCAGACAAGACTGTGCGATGAAACCCAGCTTCAATTCGGCTAGGCAAATTACGTCGTCGCCCTGTTTCCAGTCCCATGATGGAATGTTTAATAAGTAGGCCTGGAACAAATTTCAATTTCTGTAATCAAACAGCCTATATATAGAAAATATTCTTTTCAAAGTAACGATACACGCGGTAGTCGCGATTTATTGTCTCCTATAGAATGATTCCTATTGCCATTTGAGACACCAATTATCGAATATTCTGTATATTTATGCAAAGTCAACCACATAGTTTTCTATCCCTGTTATTTTCATTTTTCAAAGTTCGATATTTCGGTAATTTTTATTTCATAAGTATTCAAAGTCAGTTTTACTTTTATAATTTGTTTCAAATGTTCGGCCACCACTGGCAAAAATTGTAATGGGAGATTCTAGAGGCCAAATAAGAGGAAAATCAAGAATATCAATTTCTTGATTGAGGCTTCGTTAAAAAGTTATTAAAAAACTTCAAATCATTCACGGAAAAATTATTTTCGTTTGCGAGGATCAATTACAACCATTTTTGGTCAATAGACATACCCTCGAAATCCTAACCACTTTCGAGAAAAAAATTCGAGTAGATAAGAAATTTTTCGACAAAATTAAAAAATTTCAAATCGTTCTAAAAAAATCGTTTTTAGTTTCAGGAGTCAATTACAATCATTTTTGGTGAATAGACATACCCTCGAAATCCTAACCATTTTCGAGAAAAAAATTCGTTACCGAAAATATAATTTCTGGTCAGAAATCTCTGCCTGAATTTTCATGTGAATCTTTAAAACATCATAACTTCTGAACGGATTGAAGGATTTTAATGTTTAAAAAAGCAAACAACGCGTATTTTGATAGAGAATATGTATAAATTCTAACAATATTAAAAAAAGTTGTTCCTTGACCCCGCAAAATGAGAAAAACACCATAAAAATGGTCTAATATTCAATTAGCCATAAATCCTATAATAGTGAATATATTTCAATGAAATTTTTTTCTGAAATAGAGCTCATGGGTGCCTACAAAAAAGTATTAGACAACTTTTCTGTAGGGCGTCAAACAAAATTACTAAAAATCAAAAACGAATTTTTAAGAAAAATCAACAGGGGTAGATGCTGAAATCTTTTGGCGAAAAAAAAATTTCAAATCGTACTGGAAATATTATTTTCGATTGTCAATTACAATCATTTTTGGTAGATAGACATACCCCCGAAATCTTTCGCACTTTGGAGAAAAAAATTCAGGAAAGTGGACAAAATCGACAAAATTAAAAAATTTCAAATTGTTCTGGAAAAATTATTTTCGGTTGAGGAGATGAATTACAATCATTTTTGGTGGATAGACACACCCCCGAATTCCTACGTACTTTCGAGAAAAAAATTCTTTACCGAAAATATACTGTGTGGCTGCAAAAGTTTTCTATAACTTTTTAACGAAGCTTCAATCAACAAATTAGTATCCTTGATTTTCGTCTTATTTTGGCCTCTAGAATCTCCAATTAAAATTTTTCCCAGGTGGCCGAACACCCTGTATAGCCATCGAATGGTTTCAAATATGACAATTTATACGAAAGAGTATGCTATTGGATTATATGTTATTTATTTTTCAGATATTTTTGTAGCTGACTCTGAGATAAATTTAACGACGAGTTTGTGTTATCAGAATGTATTATATCGTACCAACCATATTGCAACTGAAGTTAAAAACAATTCAACGACATCAACACGATTTTCAAACGATCTTGAGTATTATCACATATTGAATAGACACTTTGGAAATTACTGCTTTTCAAAGCAGAAAATTATAGAGTTGTAGATAAAAAAGATAAAACTGACCTTGATATAATTAATTAAGCTTATCCTGTATATTATAATAGACAAATTCCAAAGGTATTGTATTTTTTTAAAAGGGATGTGCAAGATCTATCTAATTTTTCTAATAGCTACGAAAATACGTTTCGCTTAAATAATCGCTAAAAATGATATTTAAACAAATAATCGAACCCACATTGCACACTACAATATAAGTTTCATCAAACGTATCAGTATTTGATGGATGGAGTTTTGATATTATTTTTCAGAACTAATATTCATATTATGAGAAACTATTACTAGTTGTCTGTCAAAAGCTAAAAACAGGTGCTACGTTACAACGTAAAATTGATCTCAAGGTAAAAAAAAATGACACTAGATCTAAGTTCCTGCGTGAAATACTTTTTAACAGTAATACCTTGTTGTGATATTGCATTAATTGAATGATAACGCGAATGTCATCCGAATAATTCTTGATAGAGATTACGCGCATGATGTTTGCCGCGTCTTCTGCGTCCGGATCTTGGCAGTACTTGTTCGCCAGTACCAAACACGCGTCTGCCTCGTGGACCTAAAAAGGATCGAGAGGTCTATATTCCACGTATCGCTTTCGACGTATGATTATTAATGAAAGTAAATGTAATTTGGGTGGGTCAGGAGTCAGAAAGCAGCAGCAAAGTAGAAATTGTTCTTGAACAGATTGTAAACAAAGGAATCGGCGCGAAAGAAAAAAAGAGTACCGCGAAAGTAATTTCAGCTGACCGATTTTTATTCTGTACAGGCATCTAACATGTAACTTTAAAACGTATCGTTCGAGTATATGATACTTTATGTGTTGTATCGTATCGGTAACTAATGATATTTTAATCTATATGTATATACTCTAGGTCTGTTAAAATCTGTATGAATAATCGCAAAGAGGTGGCGTTCGAAGTAAGTGAAACGTGTGATCTTTATCAAAAGTGGTGCATAATCGGTAAAATAACAAATGGAGGGATTCGTCATCGACGTATCGAACATACTGGGGAATGCAGCTACGTGCTAAGATTCCTTGCAAGCATTAATTTTAAGCCAATTTCTATTATGTGCCGCAGGTATGCAGAAACAAATGTTAAGTAACATGTCAAAAGGCGGGTATCTAGCCAGGTTATAAGGTAAATCTAAGATTTCGTTAAAAATTAAAACACAACATCAAATATAAAAGTTAATACTTCAAGTCTCTTTCATGCGTTTTCTCATATTTCTGTCCTTTCTTCCGTCATATTTTATAACATGTACTCTCGACGCATTTTTCGAACATTAATATGAAAGCAAGTCTCAAACGACATTCCTTAAATACGTAAACGATTAACTAAAAGCCGAACTGCTAATGTTCGCGGGATCAAAGCTTTCTTAGCATGCCCATCGTTCGTCGATATAGACCTATTAACCGATCAAAATAATACGATACTATGCAGACAGCCAAACAACGTATTGTGTTCCTTTACTGCGGGGTGTATTACATCTAACAAAGAGTTATTACTCACTGACGTAGAGTAATCTAGATCTCTAATATAATAAAAGAAAATAAATATATAACTCCTAGAAACAACGATTCGTTTAAACTAATCTTTCCACAAACACATACCCACCTCGATCGACAGCAGGCATGGATCTATCCAGTAGGTGCAAACAACCTTCAAGGAACTTTTTCTAATACAAGTTGCCATGTCAAAATATACGTGTGCAGGCACACGTTGGAAGAAACTAATGATATTTTACTTTCCGCTGTGACGTCTCTCGACGTCTCTCGCCCTCGGTGAGAGATAGCAAAATTAGGAGATTTCTCGTCAGGAGAACAAATTTATTCATCTAAACGTACAGCATGGACACTAAGAGCGTAACGCGTTCAATCGCGGATAGTCCATGGGACACGCATCGCGTGTTTCACCGACTCGATTCGAACGAGCTATTACAGACTGACGAGACACGAAAGCAGATGACAGCATAGGAAATGCGTCAAAGGGGTTTCATGAAACACCGTCAATGTGCACAGAAGGAAACACACAAGCAACAACCATCCTGGAGTAACAGCATTTTGTCCTGTTGCAGAAACGTCGGTTCTCGAACGACTACTGATCGTTTGGAGCGGCAACCATGACACTATTTTACTCATCATTAAAGTTGTCGACATATTGCATTTGTATTAAACAGAACATTGAACGTTTGTGTGTAATGACAATAATAATGCGTGCTAATTACGGGGCACAGTGGCTGATACTAACATCAAAATCAAGTATACAGACTGGTTGGAAGAATCGTTTCAACAACCACAAACCTTCTACTCGCTTCTGAAAAGACACAATTTTCTATAATTACCATTCAGATTTAGCAATCGTAACTGACGCACCAGTGGCTGTATTTAGACTAAAATCTCAAACACAAAGTTAGTGCAAAATATTGCATTGTGAAAATTGAAAATTAAAGAAAAATTTTTCGACAGAGTTATATGTGCCTCAAACGTTGAAAACATTTGAAAGAGAATGATTATACAAATATAATGCAATAATACGCTCAAAATATTTTTCGTAAATTTTGACAACGCTAATTTAGACTGGTCCACGCACAGTTTCGGTCCAGTTCCGGCCAATGTCCTATCCAAGAGATTTCAGATTGAATCAAAGTGTCATGGCGACCGCTGCCGTAGAAACGAAAGGGCAACGACAATTCAATGATTTGGAGGTGTATCGACAGATGGAGGAGATGGGGGGGCGGTGTTGCGGGTGAACTCGCACGATACACAAGTTGTTGCAAATTAGTCAGCGAGATTATCATACACTTACTTCGTGGTTTTGGGGGAAGGAGAAAGGGGGGTTTGGAGATTCTTTTTCTGGACGGTTGATGTGAGACTCACCTTGACGCGCTGTAGATCAATGGGATTCATGATAGTCCCCTGAAAGAACTCCACGGTGGTGAAATGCCGCTTGAACAGTCCCTCTAGCTCGAGATCTGGTGGTTTCCTAAACGGCACCGGCCCGACAAAACGACATGTTTTTCTTTATAAAAACATTCACCTCTGGTATCGGACTGCGCCTTTCGCGAGATATCGCCGAACAGGCCGACGTAGGTCGACGGACATCTGACTTATAATGTAACTAAATGGTTCGAATTGCTGTCTGCGCCAAGCTCTCGAGGGACAGCAAAAAGGCTCCTTAAGATATTACCCAGATTTATAGGTAAATAGATATATCTATGCACGTTTATACTGTTATTCATCTATTCTCTAGTCAGTCAGGAATACGTAGCCTCCCTCGTGGGCCATGGATACACGAGATGTAATGTGATAATAGATCTAAGTAAGTCTCTACTGCACGCTGATTCGGCTCCATAGCTCATTACAGCATACCATGCAGTCGCAGGCGGTTGCTTTCTACGTTATAATTATACTATGTTATAATTATATAATTCGTACATATATGTATGTATGTATATGTACATATGCTATCCACGTATATACGTATGAATGTATAAATATGTACATGTATGCCTTGTACTATATACATACCCCAGTACCGTACAATATTGTTCTTTCAAAGTGATTTCTACGATCATCTGCAACATTTGAATACGTACGATAAAACGTTTTCAATATTATTATGGTTCGATGCCATTTTATAGCACTCTTAAAGCCACTAACATTATTTAAAAATTGCTATGTATTGAGGCTCGTTCGTGATAAATGTTTGCAAGAAAGGTTGCAAGCTAATTTCTATTCGTTTCGAAAAAAAGATCTTTATAAAGAACATAGTTTTAAAAACTATTTTAACTGTACCTCAAAATCATTTTATTGAATAACAATTTGCATCATCGAAAATTATTTTCAGCTACTCGCGTAATTCACTGTCGTAATGAGAAAGTAACAATATCAAACGTACAATGGCGTACTTTCTAAATCACGTCACTGTGTGTCCATGACTTTATATGTACAGTTATGGATATTCTTGAAACATTACTCATTGGAATTTTCTAACGAATGACTATCTTACGTGTTAAAGATTATAATATTCGATATTATTGAATATATTGAGTACGTCCTCGCAATTGCCAGACAATCGTATAAATCGCTTCGCAAGAATCGACTTGTACGTACGTGTACATTTATATGTAATGCTACACGGTGCCACAAAATTTTGCATTCCCCTAAAGATAACAGTTGACACTTCCCGGTAGAATATATTCCGTATTCGAGAATCGATCGCGTTACGTGGCACCGAGTGACTTCATATAATTTATAAAAAGAACGAAATAGAGGAAGAGAACAAGAAAGTAAGAAAGAGTAATCACGAAAGAGAGAAGTATGAGTAAAAATAGAGAATAAATGAAGAAAACAAGTGGAAATAGAAAAATCCTGGCGTTCAAGTGGTATCAGTACGTGTTCATATGCACCTAACTCCAGCATAAGTGTAACCGGTCGTGTTGCCAACGAGATATCGATTATCTCGATGCTAGTAACACCGTGACAAACGATGCCGATTGTTTCTACGAGCTTACAGGACGCGTCGTAACCATGAATATACACGCTATACGGTGTGTGTATTTTCACATTGCTCGCAGTGTACGCATCAACGTACGTCATAATGTGAACAGATCTAGAATCGTTTGACAGATCATCACGTCGAATTACGTCCAGGTGGATAACCGCGCGATAACCTAAAGAACTGCAAAGAAATGAGAAGCGCGAGGGGCCACGCGAGGGTAAAATTGGTTGGTGGGAGTTGTATGGTTGGTGGAGGTTTTGTATGATGGTTGTTCTAGGGTTCAGGGTACCTTGACGCGTTCCAGATCCACGGCATTCATCATGGTGCCCTGAAAAAACTCCACGGTCGTGTAATGCCTCTTCAGGAGACCCTCCAATTCGAGATCTGGCTCTTTCCTGAAAACACAGACCACTCCTTACGACAATGACGATCAGACCTCGTATTCGTTCGATCGTAACCGTCCACCGACACCGTGTGTCTCCTTTGGGTTTATCCTTTATGTCAACGCTTCCTGTCGACTGGTCTCAAACCGTCTTCCGATCGAATAATCAAACACGAGCTGTTCGCGCTAAAAAATTCAGAACGAACGGTGAAACGCTGGATCGACGGTGTCTGATCGCCCTTGGCCGTTTAACCGCAGAACAACTTGTATAAGTGGGAAACCTATGCAGGACGCAACCAACACTTACCCTGTTACCCGTAAGTAACGACATCAGACGTGTATATTTTTTTCCTAATAGTGTTAATCGATATCGCATTGCTATTTAATAAACGTGTGCTTATCGGTAACGATTACAGTAGCAGACTTACTTAATTTCATATTGATCAACGATTTATAGCACGTGTAACATTATACTTAACGTAAATGACAGGTGAGAACGATGATATGTTCGTTTGGAAAAGATGAGGATAGTTTTTGGCGATGGTCAAAATTTGAATACATTGTACAAGATCGATATCGTGTTCAAATTTATGCGTTAAGTGAGATAGGGAGATAGAAGGATGTTTGTAGACGTCCTGTATAATCATCTGGTAAACTATCTATGCGGTGTAAGCAACAACGAGATCATCTGTCTATGCGAGAATGTCTCCGACTATGACACGTTACATAAATTATAGAGAAAAAAAAATTGGTGCCAATAGAGATCGATTATACAGGCTTTCGTGGACTAAATGAGCCTAGGAAAGTACAGTGCATAGAGACTGATTTGGAAGCAAAAGTAATATCGATGGTCATACCTATGCAAGAAGACAACTTCCACGTCAACGTCTTCGCGGTCCTCGTGCAAGAAGTCCTTGAGAAAGTGCGAGACTGATTCGTAGGTGATGTGGCCACACACGACAATATGTCTGCCAACACAACGAACGAATTAGATTCCACTCCCGCTGAAGTTCGAGAAGTTTAAAGAAGAGAAACTTACAAGCAACTACCATGTACACGTTCTATGTAATTACATACGTCTCAACCAATTAAGGATCTCGTTACGTTTTTCTCTCTACGTGTGCTGACCGACTGCTTTTACTGTGTTTTCCACTTGCTTTTCTTCCTTTGAACATGCCCCTCGAGGGCACTTGTCGTCATACTGCTCGAGAGTGTAAATACGGTCAAATGAATACGCGCGAAACGAACGGGTTAGCAGAACGGAGAGAGAGAAACGTGAATATCGTTGAGAAATCTAAAATTTTTAGCTCTTTCTTGTGCCAATTTAGTCTGCTGCCACAATAACAAAAAAAAATAAAAATAAAACAATACTCGAGTTAAAGTTCTGTGTCAGTTGTTCGAAGGAAATAGAACCATTTACAATTTAGAACGATATAAACGTAAATCGTACATCGAGAAAAGTACAATTTCTCTGACAATCAATTGAAACATTTACTACGTGATCGCGTAATTCCCGCTTCATCTATACGTATTATATTAACGTAGATAATTAATGGACTAAACTTACCGGAACTGCGATAGGAATTGGTGTGAGTCGTTTTAACCAACTAACGTGATCGAACAACTACACACAAGCGCGCGCGCACACGCATACGCACACACTCACGCACACAGACGCACACACAGTAAGTAATTTGTACTAGATATACAATATACAGGAAAAAAAATAAATAAATGATAAACGTGACAAGAGTTAGATAAAATACGTAAGAGTGCAGGCTCGTTCGTGTCTCGATCCTTGCAATCAAATACAAGCACAAAACTCGTTTCTATTCGTGTTAATTCTACGTGCGATGTACATTAATTAATGATATATATACTTCTTGCTGTTTTACAAGCGAATCAGATAAATGGTGCCTAAAGTGATAAGTGTTATTGCGTCAAGTACAAAACTTCACCATGACCATTCCATGCTCCACTTTTTTCTACTCTGTAAATAGTTAATGCGAGGCTCATCATGAACTCAGCAGACACCCGCTGTTTGCACGATCGACTTGTCTTTTTGTTCATTTTAATTTTTTTTTATATATCTCGCGAACAAATCGGCCCCTTCTCGGCAATACAAGGGAACGTAAATGTTACGTGCCACTGAATCCAACATGGGCCCAAACACATGATTGACATTAAGCCCTACTAGACAAGGTTACTTTTAAAATCTATCATACGGGACCGACGTTTTGTTTGTATAAATGTCAAAACGTGAGTGTCGTGTGTACAATGATCGAAGTTACGTAGATATCAGATATCTAACCGTTCTAAAGAGGTGCGTGTCGTTCGAGTCCTATTGCCCATGTAGAGAAAGTACCCGGCAGTTCAAAATGCTCGCACGTCGAGTATTGCAAATCGAACGTTACTCGTCGCCGATATCCGTCGATCGAAACATACAGTCAGCTTCCAAAACACTCGTGGACGTCTCGCGGTTTCTCTGTGTCTCGACACGGCGGAACGCATCGTAAAAAATGCACGCAAACCACGCCTGACGAAAACTTTTGCTAACAAAAATCTCATCGTCGACGATAGCACGTGTGAATGACAATCTGTTAGGAGTAACATGAATACATTCGACGAGCGACGCCTTGTGTGCCTCAGGTGCTATGACCAACAGTAACGTCAGAGACGATTGTGTGTAGAATATCAAGATGGCTACGAATCGTACAAGCTGAGTCGTCGAGAACAGGAAACCGAAACGCTTCCCTCGGTTTTCGAAGCAAAGAGAAACACCTTTAACGATCGTGACGAAATTCTTCGCTCTCGTGAGCATTTATACGAGTTGTGAACGTCGCTCTTTTCTTCGATCTATAAATTATTATCGAGCACGTCTCATAACATAACCTTGAAATGCGCTTAACGTCGAAAATATAGAACAAAGAAGCCTTCAATGCCTTGAGATATACACGATGTTCCAAGGTAAGTGCTGGTTGAAAGAACGCTTGTACTACTTCTAACGCAAATAGTTGGTGAAAAAATGTTCCCGATCGGATCGAATGTATCACGCGATTATTATGATTCGTTTGAAAATGTTAAATTCATTTTAGCGTTAGCTGAAATGTACGAGGGACACGAATATATTCGTAACTTGGAACAAATGCTATCGAGAGAAAAGAATTATGTAGATTTTTTTTTTTTTGTTTATCTTAAAAACCGAAGAAGATACCGGGTGTTCCGTTCGCGACGACTCGTTCTGCACATTCGTACGCGTGATCGTGTATGAGTAAGCGCTACACTTACATATTTGATGGGACTAACAGCCGCGTTACCGGTGTTGTTGGTTTCCTTGTCGTTTTACAGAAAATTACATTCGCAATGACACAAATCATGAATAATGATCAATTTGAAAAGAACGTACAAACAATTGTATCACTCTTCCCTAATCTAACAACTTGTTTTCTGGCTCACTGATAATCCCTTAAATCAAACATAAACTACGCATGACATGTTATGGTTAGCAATATACATATGCGTATACATACAGCTTCATATATGTGTATTAATACATATATATATAAAGCGTATACAGGGTGGGTCATGTAAACTGTTACAAAGAGTTTCCGGCAAAACTCGAAGTATAGTGGGATACCTAACCTTTCGTTAGTATGTTACGAGTGACAGGAACTATTGTTACAATAAAGGTTATTGTTTGGATCTTATAGGGAACAAAGGGGAACCACTTAGAAATTTGTCTGTAATTTATAGAGTCGAAAGGAATAATTTTTATAATGATTTTTTAGGTATTTAAAGATCCTGTCGTTCAAGAAATATTTAGTCGAATGAAGCTTTTGTATTGATTTTAAATATCTTGCAAGTGCAACAAATTCTAAAAATTATCAAACATTTAATATGGCTTCTTCAACTATACAAAATAAAACAAGTAGCATAAATATTTGAAATTCTATATGTTAAAAAATACGAAGGTAGTTCCCCTATTGTTCCCTAACGGATTCAACAATGTTGCCCTGCCATGTGAAGGATCATAGTGAAGCAAATTGAAAGTTGTTCTTAAAAAAGCAGAAAACAGAACAAGTCCGGATTTAAGACCTAACGATAACAAGGGAGGTTCGTAAAATCACGTGTAGCGAAAACTTGTAATCGTTTTAACATTTGTTGTCCTTTGACAATTATTTCTGCAAGCATGGATCGTATGGTCAGTGATTGCTCGATCGAGAACATCGAATCGTTTTATTAGTGTACAGAACAGGGGTGTCGAAAAATCCAAAAAAATTAGTCGAATCTCTTCAACGCATTAGGCAGTTGACGCACATTCAGGCTTATTATCAAGCTAAAGATTATCGTATCGAACTCTTTCTTAACAAATTAAGGAAACATTTTCTGAAGCATAAAGAAGATTACAGCTCGCAATCGGTACATTTTTGCTTTGTGATACCGAGTGTACATATTGTGTTACAACCTATACCTATACATATAACAGCTTTCGGGACAATAATTTGTAACAGTGGCCCACCCTGCATAATACAACCCAAGGCAGAAGTTCACTTTTCCACTTTCCTTTCTTCAAGAATTACACGTAAAAACGATAATTAATGCTGTCTAAAACACCAAGGTTATTACACTCAAGTGTTATATTAGGTCACATATACATATACGTACACACGTATGTAGCTCGTAATAAGCGGTAGAAAAAGAATAGCAGCGATTCCACGCGAAAAAAGAATAAGTATAGAATATACTTGAATATGGTGAATTTTTTTTATTCGAGGCTTCGTATTCGAGGAAATTAATTTTTAATACACGTTTGGTGCACGTGCACTCGACGGATCTCGCTGTCGACCACTCTATTTCCGTCGGTATTTCCTCTATTCGGTAATCTAGGACACGCAATAAGACAAGACCTCTACTGTTTAAAGCCTTCGATTTTATCCCTGCAGAATCCTTCTTTTTACATTCCAATTCGTCCCGCGATATCGCAGAGAGGCAGTCCGAACGAATCGTGTTCGTTCTGCTCTTTGAATCACACGCCCGTCGGGATGTCGATGATTGGGATATCGGTCTCTCTGGTAATTAGCCACGGCAGAAGCATAACCGTCACATGCACCTAACGCATGAGTTATATCCGTATTCTCTCGAGTGCTGTATCTAGACATATCGATAGATTGATGGAAACTGAGAGTTCCTGCCGCAGGGTAAAAGTAACTTAGCAGAACCGATATTGGCAATGTTTAGAAGCGAGATCCGTTGAGGGAAATAATCGTCGAGTGCCTCTTTTAGAAAATTATTTCATGTTTACTATACATATATTTCGTCGCGTAGAATCATCATTTTTCCAATTTTACCGCCTACGTATAATGTATACATACGGGTAATATGTATATAAATATATATATTTAAAATGTGACTTAACAAACACACACACACACATATATGTGTATAATGTATGCATTCAATGTAGGATATGCAGGGTACATGCTGGGCGTTGACCCTTTGCACTCGGAGAGAAATACAGCTCAAATATTTACTTAGCACGTGCTGTCTAGTCCGCGTCCATAAAATACGTCCTCGCGAGTATTAAACTCCGAACGAGATGTTAAGAAGTAACGCGTACCAGCGCAAATTGTTTGAATTGCGCAAATTGTTCGAACGATATTACGCGATACGCGCTTTACAGTTGCGGGCGATTCTCTAATTTATGCTATGTCGAAGTAGCTAGGCCAAAGTAGCGCGAGTTCTACGTCAAAGCTGCGGAAGCGAATTACCCGATTCGCTTCTAAGATAATTATGGTCAACTCAGCGACTGTGTCGGCGAAGAACAACGCAACAACGAGGAATTAGATTTGACGCATGGTGGAACGTTGCCACGGTCAAAGTTGCTCGACTCAACTGTGAGCAAATAACGTTTTGCAGTCAACGAAAACAACGAATCAATCCAATTATTTTTGCTCGTGTCGAGAAGGTGAAATATTTATTTATGAAAAATCGCACGGTACAACGTCGTAATTCCTCGTTGTAAGATTGGATGAAACTAGCGCAGTAAAGCCGTATTTGTCCCAAGTGCAGTCAGTGTGAACGAACAAGCTAACACCAGTTGCTGGGTACGGTAGATCTGTGGTAACAATAGGACTAGCTGGTTTGACCGGTTGAAGGTGTTGCTGGACGGAGTGAAGGACGTACTGTTCAAGGACTGTCTCTGGAATGGCGACCGTCGACTGACAACTAATACCGGGAGCAGGTGTGGAACTGAAACTCGTCGATTCTAACACTGTTCTCTAAATATAAGTGTGTATAACAAGAAATAACGGGCAGTTCAAGGAGTATCTCAGGCTTGTCGGTAAGAACGTGGCGTGTATTCTGTGTGACCGTGAGAAAATAGAATTGTAATCGGGGTGGTGAAGGGATCTGACATCAAGGCAAAGTGTGATCGTGTGTCGGTGTTCAGGTGCATACGATCAGAAAAATGTGGCACAGAGTTCGTTTGGTGTCGTGCTAGAGGTAGGAAGGGCAGAGGAGGAGTCAGACTTACATAATATACAAGTTGTTATCATACGAGAAAGTATCGGGTAGTTGATAGTAATCAGGGTTGTGAAAGGTGGCTCAACTCGGGAAAGCTAGTTGGTTGGTTGTGTCTCTCACCTGCGACCTCGCTCGTTCTTCAAAGTGCCGCCATACTTGTTTCGCGTCCCGATCAGGTCAATTATCTCGGGGATACAACTGGCGAATATGGCCTACACCACGTGATAGAACAAAACACAACATTCGCATCAATACACTTGTGTGATAACGGTTTGCAATTTTTTGCTTTATATTTCTTTTTTTTTTTTTTTTTTTTGCATAAGTCTTGGTCGTGCTATGTGAATCGGTATCGTCCCGTCGTGTCAAGGTAATCGCTAACGCGTCGAATGCTGGTCGTACCTTATTTGCTCATTTTTCTGGGGGTGGGGGGGGGGGCGGGTGACGAAGGGGTGGGAGGAACTTTGCATTTATGAACGGAAGTAAGTTTTATGGTTCAGCTACCGGGCTGCGTAGCCACTCATAGTGACACGATTAATAGTGCTGTACCACTATGCGCGCCACGGCCCAAATAGTTAATATGTATAAACGTATACATATTACGCATATATATATAGAAACGAACACGTTCCAAATAAAGGGCGGGGTAGGTAGGCTACCTACACCTAGGTCCTACACTCCTACACCTAGGCCTAACGATAACTACACGTGCCGACACGTCTACCTAGTCCATTGGCAGGTAGGTCATATATTCATTGATCTTTTACGCGTACTCTTTGGTACAACAGTTTGGTTCTTAACAATTCTTTCATTCATCTGGCTTTTTACAACGAGGCTGGTTGAATCTTCTAATTCTGAACATGTCGTGCACCGCTTCTGCCTCTCGGTGGATACGTGCGGACGTCAATTACGATTGAACGAAAATGTTTTCACTTAACATGTTCACGTGATTCCGAATCTCTTTGTATAATACGTAAAAAAGAGGACAGAAGTTACCAGTAATGCAGGGGTTACCATGAATACGCTGTATTGTCTCACGGAACTTGCAAAGAGCGAAAGAAAAGATGTTCCCAGTTGGAATAGGTTACAATTTCACGAGACAAGTTTCCGATGTGGTAATATTGTAATTACAGTCACTGCCACATGCGTTCATAATACGTACGTCGATGCACTATTCTTATTATCGGACGAATAACGCGCTAACTCATCATAAGAGAGCAGTTAGCGAGCGATGTTAGCGTCTGTTCGATGTTAATCACTCGTCTACACTAGCGTTTGACACAATCGATGTAACGTATGCAAAGTGTGTAGAACAGTAGAAACAAAAAGATATTGTTGCCTGATCGTGGTATTCGCTTCGATTATTTCCTTTTACCGCGTTACGACGTTTGATCTCTTTCTTCCTCCTCTCCAAGAGAATGCACGATGCTCTCTATTCACGTGTGTACACACCAAATATGGTAAACTGACGTCCCGGATGACAATTCTGAAGCAAGTGCACGTTCTAAAACGCTACAATGCTTTTTTCGGACGGAATCGCCGATCGGCCCACAGAACTCTCACACATCGGGTGTGCTCGATGGTCGACACACGAATGATTTGTTCGCCAGAAATAAGATAAAATCATTTAACATTTGAATGAAACGACTGACATCGAGTTTATAAGTATCATATTATAAAGACCTTAACATATCGAAATGAAAAGTTACTGTAACGATGCAAAACTAACGCGACCTGTATCGGTGAACTCGTAATTTCTTTCGAGTAAAAGATCGACTTCGAAAAATTATCTTATTCGTGGCATAGAAATATCATTAATGGACGACACTTTCACGAAATACCCTGAGTATCACAAATATCCATCTTCGTCCCGGTTATCTAGGCCAGTGGCTTTCAACCGATAGCACTATGAATAGGTCAGAGGAATTTATGAATATTTGAGAGTATCTTTTTCGACTCGTACATATGTAAATACGAATAGCGTTACGCGAGACATTTGTTATGTGATCGAAAGTGTGCCGTGGCTCGAGAACGGTTGAGAACCGCTGATCTAGACCATGCACGTCCACTAATAAACCAGGCCAATAGACGATCGATCTCGAACGACTAAATTATCCACGAAAAAAGCGGTGCGTCTGCGGCAACGAAGTCTGTGAGTGTAATCGCGTTATATAATACATTTGCAAAGTTATAATTTTCGTTTTGCGAGAGAATCGAAGGAAAGTGTTTCTTGGGACATGGGCTAGTGTCGATCTACGCATGTATATTGTTTCCTTTCCGCTTTCCTTTCGCTCGGTGATGTTTGCCAATTCGAATACTTATATACATACGTATATACGTTTTCCATACACACGTAAACATATACGAGTGATATATACATATGGGCATATAGTATGTGTGCACGTACGCGTGCGTGCATACACATCGTGCACGTATATTATATATTTTATAATATATGTACTGGAACGTGTACGTACGCACGCCTACATCTAACGTGTCGACGCGACGATCGCGGCGGAAATGGTGACGTTTGGTCATTTCCCTGACACTTCCCGTCTCAGAAAAGAGTTCATCGAGTGGCTGTGACTGAAATATTCGTGTATCATTTCCAATTTGTACGTACATATCTCGTATACACATGTTTATGTATGTGTATGTAAATGTCAAAGAGAGGGGCAGAGAGAGAGACTTGTTTTCTCGATGTGACTGAAACTAGACTATCTATATGTCTGAACGAAGAATGGGATGATGAACGAGCGTTTCACGGGAAACGCCGAGAAGGCTGTTGCAGTGATCAATAGCACACATTACATTTTCATCCGTGCCACGGTGTTTAATATCCGAGGAAAACTGAATCGATAGACACTACTGCGCGGCGAGAACGTTACCGTGTTCGATAATCGTCGAACCTCAAAAACTGTAGGACCATCGAGGTGTCTCTAAAGTGCATGCAAACTTTACGCATCGTCTGGATAACGAAACGCAATCACGAAACGACGTACCTTCGACGTTTCGTGTCATAATGCGCAGAATGTTTTGCTTTATTTCGATATTACCGATCAAACGGACACGTAAATGCCAATGTCTATGATCACGTGTCTACATCAATTCAACAAAAGGATAGAAAAGAAAAACAACTGTTCACAACGAATGGAATAGAAAAAAAAGAGAAAAAAAAGAAACGTCCGACAGAAGTTGAACGATCTCACCAAACCGTCGAACGTTCAACGTGATAATGGACATAATCATGCTATCAACTGTTTGTTTCTATTTGTTTCATCATGCGAAAACGTTTGGTATCTCGTGCCTGACTTCGCGCGTTCGCCTTCTCCGCGTTCGGCCCGTTCGACGCTGTAGGTAAATGCAGCATTGTGTCTCGCAATTATTATACGTGCAATTTCTACTAATAAAATCCCTAAAGAGCAGCCGCATGTGCCTACGCCTGCACCCCCTCTACTGCTGTGCTCTAGTTCAAGTGCCAAGTATTGTTATTATATCAAGCAAGAGAAAATCACGTCTCGATCGACGATGATAAAGGCTCCTTCTCCTTTCATTCGTGCGTCGAACAAGAGAAGTCGCTCTTCTCTAAAGAAAAAGGCCATTCACGCGATGGGTTCTCGATCGCTTTTGGAAATTCTACAGGCTAGCCAGAGCACTATCGCATGCCACCAAGAAACTCAATTCGTGAAGAGAGAGGGGACAGAGATAGAGAGAGAAAGAGAGAAAACAAAAATTGTTCACGGGTCGCCGATACTTTCTTGGAACTTTCGCGATTCGTGATAATAGCTTTTTCGTATTTCTCGCAACGATCGATAAAGCGCCAGACATTTTGTACAAGTATCAGCGACAACCGTAACCTGCCGCTTCACGACTCCTCTTTTCGCGCGTTTCTACTGGCCACATCTACGATCCAACGATCGTCCAAGATTGCCGAACGATCTACGCTACTCGAGTAACAAATGTGCTTGACCGCTGTAAGACGGCGGATGTGTACTGCTCCGGAGAATGATTTAAAATGTGATTCCAAGCGAAGAGAAGACGTTTCATTTTCATAGATTTCTTTCTACTTTCTTCTCCAGAAAATTGATCACGATTCGCTAAGTGAACTTGCGCAAAAACCCAGTCGCGTTACTGTTTCATAGAGTCTTAAGGGTTCGGGAACGTGGTGAATCGAATCCCTGCACGACGTTTAAAAATCATCGATGAATCGAGGACCAAGTTCTGCGAGGACTAAATTCATCGACGGAAACGCATAAACAGCGATCACTGCGTTTTCACGAGGAAGAAACGTTCCTGAAACGATCGAACGATCGTCTTGCTGTACTCATCGATTTCTCATTGTTGCGTCCACGTAATCGAAACAGTTGCGCGGAACAGGAGAGGATGATTCGAACAATGGCGATGTACGGTCTCCGGTGCACCAGAGAGTGATTTTAATAACTGGGAGAGGCTATAGCTCTTTTCGAAGCGACGACAGGAAACATTGGTGAAGGGCAAAAATTGATCGACCGAACGAAAATCATTTTACCGTGACATGATCCTTCCTTTCAAACGCAACAGAGCGAGTACACGATGCGTTTGCGTATGTTTTATGAAAATATGCACGATAATGCGACAAATACGCGTAAGCACATTAATGTTGAGTCATTGAACAGAGCGATCGTTTCAAATGTGTTCTCAATTATTTACCATTACGTTTTCTCAAATACTTTAACGTGCTTGCTTATCTCAGTTTTAATAATTCATATTTTTTTGTATTGATGAGAAGATCAAGAACGTTTATATCAGCGCAACACATTGTGAAACATGTAACATATTTAGTACGTAATACTAAAACATTTAAACAGTTACTGCCACAAAATAGACTTCTAACAAATAACGCAAGATACGTTGCAAATGATCTTTTAAAAAAATACAATATGTACAACGCTTCTAAAGAAAGTACGATCACGTACTGTTTACTTCTACTTTACGTCTTTGTTCGATCGTACAAAATTATAATGGTGAAGTGACGTAAAGGCTCCACTCCTAGTCAATGAGAAAATTATAATATTAAAAATGATGATACACTAAGCACGGAAACGGATAAAAATATAACCAAAAGTTTCAAAAGTTACGAATCTATGAAGGATTTAACGAAAATATTTTGAAAGCTTAATGGAAGAAGCAGCGAGAAATGAGAGAATGTCACCAGGTAAAAGATGGAAGAAGAGCA